TTTGAGTATCAAGCCTTTTCAAAATTAGGTACCACCATCTCATAAAAGACATTATTCACGTATGTTTTGAGTTTTCGGTGCAGTATCTACCCAATTGGTTAAAAAATACAAATGTGTGAAACAACTAGCTACATTTGGACGTTCATGTTCAGAACGGCTGGGCCGCTTGCGCTCAAATTTGATTCACGGTTAGGGACCAGCGAGAAGGATGTCGTGCAGAAGCCATTAGAAATCCAGTTTGCACGTGCGCACGTGCAGGGTGTCGCTTTCACATTTTTAAACGAGCTAGACCGAGTACGCTCAAATTTCGCACACCGTTTAACCCTCGCCCATGTAGGGGGGGGGGGGGTTGGTTGGTGCAACCCCCCTGAGGTTTTTCTTAGCTACACGCCGAACCGTTTCAGATAGCCTGCTCAAATTTTCGGTACCCTATGGGGCATCCTTTGCGCAACTTTTGGTATTTTTTTTGTCAAGGTCATGTCAGTTGACGGAGCTATGACGTCATAAAGGGAACAACCTCTGGCCAGATTTACGCTAAATTGGAGATTGCTTCACATTGGTATAAATGCCGACTGACCTGACACACTGATGGATTGTTTTAGAATCACAACTGGCTGATTTGACATTGGCAAAATGTCCGTTGACATTTTTAACCCTCGCCGGACCTATTGGTTTTCTACATACGCGCCGGCCGAGGGGGGGGGCGGCGGGTACGACCCCCCCCCTCGCCGTTTCGCCCCTGGTGGAGCTAGCGCGTCGCGGAAAAAACGAGCGTGTGCGCCGTTACGAGACGCAGAGATTGGTACCCGATTTTAAGGTCCTAGGTCAACCGGTGACCTCTGAGGTCAGGTCAAGTGCCCCAGGGTACGGTTCAGTTTTTGGTGAATAACTTCGCAAAAAACGGCCGCAGAGCCGCGATTTTGGCAGCATCGTGTTTGCCTTGATCAGGCGCGTCGAATGATATACTTTTTGTCCGGGTCAGGTCAACTTGGGGTGTTGACCTCAGGTCAAGGTCAGGTCAGCACCCCCAGGTCAAGAAGTTGGTCGAAAGAGGTCATGTCGCATATCATTCGATTCAGCAGGTCTTCCTGAGTCTATTGGTGGCTTTCCCGACTCGCTAGCTCTATTTGATCGGGAGTTATTGACGAAAAACTAATATGACCTTGATGACGTCATAAATGACGTCACGGAAGGTCAACATTGCAAAAGTGATGCATCTAACCTTGCAAGGAGTGCATCAAACCACGATTCTGTGTGCTTGAGATAGTTGGAGATCGTTCCCGGCGCCAGAATAGCAGTTTGAATTTTTCCCCATTGACTTGTAATGGTGAGGTCACGAAAATGACCTGACCTCATATGACCTCTAGGAAAAATCCGAGATATACAAGTTGTGAGACTCATAATGGATACTAGATCCTGCAAGTTTCATTTCCCTGTGACATCTCCTCTGGCAGTGAGGGCGTTGCGAAGTTGCGACATCTGAAGACCGTGCAGAGGTTCACTTATGACGTCATAGGTCAGTGACCTGACCTGACCCAAAAATGCGGTTGGTGTCAAAACATGCGGCTTGGATCAAAGGTCAGGTATGCCAAGTTTCAGCTCTCTATCGCCAGCGTGTTCGGAGCTATCGCGAAAAAACCCTATGGGGGGGGGCGGCACCCGCCCCCCCCCCCCCCTCGGCCGGCGAGGGTTAAGGTCACTAAAGGTCAAGGTAAGGTCAATGACCTCGGTTGACCTGTAATGACTTCTTGCACTTGTATGCCTTTTCGGGGTATTTTGATGCCCTGAATTCGAATTTGCTATCCATTTTAGGCATCGTCGGTTGCTTCTTGTAGTTCATTTTGGGTCAGGGTCAGGTCAGTGACGTCACACGCCTGACGTGACCCAATGCACAAATGACCTTGCTGACTTCCGATGCTCCCAACGCATCATTTTAGAGTTATGACATCGAAATACACACCAAACGATAGAGAATTGATCAAGGATCACGATAGTGTAGGTTTCAAGTCGATATCTCTTACCGTTTTGCCGCAATCGGCGCGGAACTCTGAAAAAGTTAGATTTTTCCGAAAATTTGACCTTTGACCGGTCATAAGTAGGTCAAATGTTGACCTAGGACCAAAAAATATACCACCAATCGCGAGATCTCGTTGAGAGCAATCCGTTGGTCTTTCCCGCTAAGCTCTGCGACGCTCCGTTTTCAAACGCCAGGGGGGTCGCACCAACCCCCCCCCCCTCTGCATGGGCGAAGGTGGCAAAACACCGTTTACGGGCGAGGGTTAAGAGACCGGCTGGTGGGGTGCCGTGTACAGTGCACGCTGTACAGGTCAGTTAGAAGTATCCCCTCGCACTCCAGCATGTGCAAGGCTCACTCTCGCTAGTTCGTCACTCCAAAGAGCGTCTAATTCATGTGTGCGAATAGTGTGTAAGCTCGTAGTGTGTAAATGTATCCTCCCCGTTGGACTGCAGTGCGCCGCGGCTGTCCCAGCTCAGTGAGACGGCCTGCAGCGGTGCACGGAGCGGCTTCCTGACGACCCTCCCCGACCGGCAGACGTGCCCCTGGGCATCGGCTGCTTCTCGGGCCTGCCGCCGCCGGCCGACGCTCAGGACGTGGACACCAACGACGTGCCGACGTGCCTGGTCCGCTGCCACGGACTCGGAAAGCCGGTGGCTGGTGAGTTAGACATCGCCGACGCTCCATTCATACGCGGTAACATCAGCCGCCACAGTTAATCCAGAGTTAGCCTGTGTTTAGAATCACGCTTCTAGTCTGAAAGTTTGGCAGTTTGGCGTTGGAATGCTTGCTACAGTGTAAGAGGGTATCTTACCTGTGGCTACGTGATGCTATCTCAAATAAATGTATAATACACTTCCATTAGCCATAGGATCGAATTGCCTCGGGCAAATAATGATTTCCATTGAGTTAGTTTTGGATAAGTGTTTCGGTTAATAATCTAGTCCAGCAGACAAGGGGTGATATTTCTCCGGCCTGTCTCGGTGCTCTGAGCCGTGTGTGTCTGCAGCGCTGCGCGGTGCCAGCTGCGCCTGCCTGGATCAGATGCCGTACGCCAGTCTGCGACCCTCACGGTCTTGCCACACCCCCTGCTACGGGGAGCGCTGGATGTGTGGCGGCCAGGACGAGCACAGCTTCTACACCGCCAGTGAGTCATGCCCAGACGCCCCCGCCGCCGCAGCTCAGACGACCAGAGCGATCTTGGATCCAGAACGCTGGTCGAGCGTAGTAATACAAGTTGAAAATAAAAATAGTAGGTACCTAGCATAGCAATTAGTATGCAGAGCTAATGACTAGTCTGTGGCTCCTCTCAAAGTTTGTAGCTGTATAAAAGCTAAATCCATACCAAAGCTGTCATTTCCGCCACCAACCACCAGCCAACTGACTCTCATCGAACACCAAAGCTCCTTCCAAGACATTAAAATCAATAATCCCTACCACAAACGGGCCTTGCCACAAACTCCTTTCCTAACTGCCACCAGCACCGCTGTCGAATCCCCGCCGTCAGCGTTGACCCGCCGCGCCCTCAGCACTGACCCGCGTCCCGCCGCGCCCTCAGCACTGACCCGCCGCGCCCTCAGGCTGTCCCGACGGCTGGCAGCGCGTGGGGCACTTCTGCTACAAGAAGTTCGCCGACGCGGCAGCTGACACGGCTCGAAAGGCGCACGCGCTGTGCACAATGAACAACGCCGAGCTCTTCAACCCCCGCTGGTCGTACGACTACAATATGGCATCCAAGTTGCTAGTGTGAGTGAACAAATATGCTTTAGCCAAATATTTGGTGGCGATTTCTGAGATGGCCGTCTTCATTTCATCCCGTTCCACCTTCTCTTCAGTAGGTATGTTCACCTTTCATGTTAATCTTTTACATAATTTATCTTTATAACTCTTTCTTAACATGTTGGTGAAGTTCCCAATTCAGTGTTCGTTTAACCCGCGCATTACTTGGGGGGAGGGGGGGGGGGGACTGGGGCTCTACAGAGCCCCCCCTCCCCTCCGCTTTTCGGCAATGTCTTCTTAACCGTTTGAAGAATCAACACGAAACTTGCGGTACCCTCAGCGGCATTATGGCATTACTTGACACCTTTTGTTAAAATTTCAACTTTCTAGCTACAATAGTTTGGCCGGAAATAACGTCAGAGTGACGTCATGTCGGCCGATTTTGATGCACAATATTGAATTACGGGAAACGCCCTGAAGAGCTCAGTTTTAAAGCTAGATCCAATTTCTTTGCATGAGGGGACTACAAATACACGTAGCTATCAAACTGCTATCTCGAATTTTCGAAATTTTGAAAATTTCGAAAATGTGTATTTACAATTACAAAAAGATATATTTTTGATTTTTACAGTTTTTGATTTTTCGCAAAAACCGGAATATATGTGATAGAACACACAATGAGACTACACTAGCAAGTTTTAGCCCAATATCTTGAAAAGTTGCCAAGTTATTTGGATTATTGTCAAAATTTTACGATTATGTATATTGTATTTTTCAAAACCATTTTTCAGTACGTTTTTGACATTGTACAGCAATATAAATGGCACCATCGTGTATCTGAGCTCAAACTGCATCTGATAGGCACATTTCCTGTTGAAAAAATTCACTTTCAAAATTTTACCTCTCCTGACCTAAAAGTGACCTGACCTCCGGTAAATTCTGCTGAAAATAGCCTCAAATGACACAGACGACATTGTTTTCGAAATTTATGAGTAAAATGGACCACAAAACATGCGTCACGTGACCGATAAATGATATACAATTTTCGTGACCTAGGATGACCTGGCCTTGACCTGAAAATTCGAAGTAAAAGTTCGGTACCCTCAGGGTATCTAAGGCACATATCAAGGGGTGCGTAAACCAAAAATGAGCCTGATCGGTCTTGTCAGCCGGCGGTGAAAGCCTAAAAATTGTGAACAAGCAAAAATGCTGATAATTTTTACTTTGACCTGACCTGTGACGTCATCGGTGACCTCGAGGTCAATGAAAATAGGTTTCCTTCGACAGTATTTCCAGGGCTATCAGACGCCGTTTGAATTTTGACGATCAGCCTAGTAGCTTCGGAGGTAGGAGGGGGGGGGGGGGCTCTGGAGAGCCGCCCCCCCCCCCCCCCCCCCCCAAGTCACTCGCGTTATGGAAAATACCCCATTCATACGCGGGTTAAGTCACCGAAATTGAATTGTACCGACATTGCGCTAAGTGGCTGTGCATTGAAGAACATCATGCCGTCAGAGCGCAGGAAACACTATGAATATCGATAATGGACGGGGAGAGCTGCTTAGCAACGGGGTGGGACCTGAGCTGACTGGAATAGGATGTCAGTTGGCTGGAATAGAGTAACACTACGAGTATAGTTGAATGGCATGACCTCTATTCTCAGCTCTGACGGTGCCAGTGCCTTCCTGGGTTTCAAGATCATCAGGAACCCCGCTACCGTGTACACCTTCAGCGGAGAGTTGATGACCGATTTCGAGGAGATTAAAAGCCTGACCAAGCTGGGGGCCGACGCCGACTGCGTGGAGGTGGCCCGCAGCGGCACCACGCTGACCGCCTCGGGCGCCTGCACCGCCTCCGCAGAGGTCATCTGCCAGCAGCCTCTGGGTCAGTACGGCCGGGACGGAGCGGCGCCTGCAGACCCGACTGGCCAGCTGACACAATCCGCCTGGCCAGACAGTGGGATACATCTGCAACCCAACCCGACAGACTTTGATAAGTTGTAACATGCCTTTACGTAGTTATCTTATTCCCTCTCTCGTATATAACATAATATGCTGCCTCTGAACAAACACAGGAGAAATGCAGTTGAATAACCCAGTAAACATGCCGACGTCGGCCCGACGTCGGCCGACGTCGGGGTGACGTCGGCAACTCGGCATCAGCATGCCGACGTCGGCCCGATGTCGGTCCAACCTCGGCACGACGTCGGCTGGATGTCGGATATGCCCGCATGTTCCGACGTCCAGCCGAGGTCCAGCCGACGTCGGGCCGACGTCGGACCGAGATCAATTGCTGAGGTCCAGCCGACGTCGGGCCGACGTCGGGGCGACGTCGGACCGACATCGGCCGCTGTTTTGACCGTTAAAATAGTATAAAATACATGTTTCATGTTTCATAAAGAGCTTCTGTATTCAAAATATCCTCAGGAAACTCAAATCTTCCTCCACGCCGCAACCCCCTGATCCGGACTGGACGGGAAACTTTATCCCATTTGGGATTGCCCGTAAGCCGAGCTCGCCCGTAGCCGGGTGCGGTGAGTGCTTGGGGGCTGCTCGGCCTATCCTTTGGTCAGGCTCAGTCCCGGCAACTCACCAGGGCCGGGCCCAGTTCATATAGAAAGGCCAGTCGGCAAGTGTCACTTTGCCAAAGTGCCACTTATCAAAGGGACACTTTGGGAAACGTTGGTGCAGGTGTGTAAGAGTGGCTATATGAATCCATTGTGGGGTTGCCCTTTCCAATAAGTGTCACGTAACAGCAATGGGACCAGGGACTCTATATGAACTGGACCCAGGGTGCTCGCCAAGAAGACCACTGTCTCCATCCTATGATCCTTCCGGCTCTGAAATGGTCTTGTCAGACCGAAAGGGCATAACCCAACAAAACAAACCAAACCCGTTAGCTGGCTGCGTGGTGTAGTGGTAAGCGCACTAACCTCGCATTCGAATGACACGGGGTTCGAATCCCATCGCCGGCTGATGCTTTTGGCGTGTTGTTCCAGTAAACATGCCGACGTCGGCGACTGGGGGGCTCGAATCCCGCCGCCGGTTGATATTTTTGGCGCGTTGTCCCAATAAACATGCCGACGTCGGCCCCGTCGGTCCAACGACAAACGATCTCGTCAACCTCGGCGAACGATCTCGGCCCGACGTCGGCTCGACGTCGGCTGGACTTCGGCTGGACGTCGGAACATGCGGGCATATCCGACGTCCAGCCGATGTCGGACCGAGATTGAACCGACGCTGGGCCGACGTCGGGCCGAGCCTCGGCCCGACGTCGGGCCGACGTCGGCATGTTTACTGGGAAGGAATGCAATCGGACGTGATCATGTTAATCATGTCGCTACGTCACATATTCATTTCTTGTTGCATTCACACACCTCGCGAATACACACCTGTACCATATGATAGGGCGGCGTGTGACCCGCCATCGTGGTGTCGGCAGTGCGCGGCTGGGGCACGCAGGAGATCGCCGAGACGGACGACCTGGTGATGCGGACAGCCTCCAGCGGCAGCGACGTGTTCGCTGACCCGTCCCAGTGGTGGAGCCCGGCGGCCGACGACACCTCCCCGCGCCTCGTGGTGGGTGACAGTCGCACACACCGCATGCGGCCGATTGTCGAAATGACAGTGCATTGTTGAACCAATGATTTATTTTTTTCGAAAACAAAAGCAAGCTCTCCACAAAGCACGTACAATGTAAGTACATACATACATTGTACATTTCGACGGTATTTTAAGCAAATCTCTAATAGATTGCAGGTAACAATAAGCCTCACTTATATATTTTAGCGCTCTACAGAACTACAAAGTAGTTCAGGTCAGATTCATAACATTAGTTTTGGTGCTACCAATTATTCATGGTGTACCTATGTTGCGACCCGTGACTATTTAATAGCTACTTATTGTTACAGTGGGAATTTTCTCGCCAAGTAATGGTCTCCGGATTCAAGATTTCCAGCAAATCCGACAAACTGATGGAAAGCTTTTTCTTAAAGTACAAAGAAGATTACCTGAGCAACGATACTGAGCGATTCTACGCGACTTCAGAGGCAGGAGACATTTATGTAAGTTTGAAAGGGCTCCTCCTTAAATTCCGGGCAGTGGAAGGAAGTACATACAGGGTCATGAGAACGAGTATATTCATTCAAATTGTTACGTGGCGCAATACGATGGAGATGAACCCGTGACTTGACCATTTTTATTCATAGCTTCCTGATTGGCATTCTTTTCTAAAATTACTTTCAGGAATTTAACATCACCAGCGGGCTCCAGCTGAGCGGCGAGTTCACGGCGCACATTCAGCTGGCCTACCCGAAGGTGTCCAACTGGTTTGCGCTGCTGCCGTCGCGGTACGTCGCCGGCGCAGAGGTCAAGGTCACGCTGCTCGGCTCCACTGCCAGCGAGAGCGTCACTGTCTCCGAACGGCCGGGCGTGGCCGGTTCAGGTGCATATCCCAACCCTCCTCACACAGCTCTATCATCGAGCTATCCAATGTGCACAGTGTGCCAGCTATCATGGCGTATTTTTCACGAATTCAGTAGTTGGTTAGATTGTTTTCTGTTGTAAATGACGTCATAATATTGGTGTGTGGCTGTGTGCTCAAAATAGGATAACCAATATTTGTTTGATGTTTTTGTTTGTACTACAGGGTGTCTCAAAAAAAGTGTCACGGTTTTGAACATCTCCCATTTCCTAACCACATGACCTACATCGTTCAAATTTTCCTGAATTAGTGGTAATAGTATGACATTTTGTGTGGCAGAATTTCAAGTTCTTAGGCAAAATGGTTTTGCACCGGAACAAAAAATCAAAAAATCTCAATTTTGGGTGCTATAGGAGATGGTATTAGCACTGTCTGCCGACGATTTCGGTAAGACTTCGGCTTTTGCTTGTTGCACCCAACAACGTGTTCGTCAGTAATTATCTACAACTATAAGAAACCAAAAAACGCCTTGCAAAACAGACAATGAAATCGCAATCAACCATTAGTCTCAGGACAGCGCGGTTGCCATGCCTGAATCTTCCGTCAAAAGCTGCAGTCGCTGACACCGTGCAAAGGACTTGTGACACACTGCACATTGCGCACACCCAGAAGTTCTGCATGTTTGAGTAGAAACTTTAAAACTGTCCATCAGCTATCGTTTCTTCTCTTTGTGTGTTTCGGAACAAAACCGAGTAGAGGATTTTGCCATCAAGGATGCCGTCGACTGTCAAAGCATGGAAACTCGCGCCGTCTGAAAATCAATCAGTGTTGATCGTTGCCCATGTTTGTGGCTGTGTTTCAGCTTGCTGCTGTGCTCCAGATGTCAGTTGTACACGATGTTCTTACCTATAAAGGTTTCAAAAATGTATTGATGAGCTTGTTTCTGGATTCATCAGGCGAAAGGGGCCCAGACTCTTCAGGATCGACGGCAGGCCGTGACGTACCATCTCCTACAGCACGAAAATTGAGCTTTTTTATTTTTTGTTCTAGTGTAAAAACCATTCTGCCCAGGAACTCGTAATTTTACCACATAAAATGTCAAAACATTGCCACTAAATCTGGAAAATTTGAATGATGTAGGCCTTATGGTTACGAAACGGGAGATGTTCAAAACCGTGACACTTTTTTGAGACACCCTGTAAATATTTCAAGATTCTGTTAGCATGTGAATTGTTATGACCTGTTAAGACATTTAGCAGTGAGCCAATTGATTGCAGTAGCAAACCGAGAACCGTCCATTCGCTATTAGAAAAAAAAACTCAACAATGCTCGTTTTGCACAAGCATATAATTACCTTCTTACGTAAGATAGCAGTTCTTTTTCAAATAAGTACGTAACAAATTTTTTATCTGTCTTCACATAAAGGTAATACGGTCAAATTTGCAATCTAAGATGATGTGACCCTTATTGGAACACATATGTCGTATGGTTTCCAAGGTGCACAAACACTTCAATTGTTTTCCATCCCATCCGTGTTTAGATCAAAATCTACCCAGGTTGTTCCGTGCTTGTTCCAGCGGCATTGAATCTGACCGAAATTTGCCGAGATGCCGACCACAGCGACCTTGAAGGTGAAGGCTTCCAATTAATGAACGCGGAGCCGGAGCTTTGGCCGGGCCACTCGTCACTGATACATGTGAGTGCTCCTAGTACCGCAGCGGAATAACGAACTGACCTTCCGGCCCTGGACTCGGAGCAAATGTTTGTATTTCCGCTGTTCTTCGCCCTCTCACCTTCATCACAATCAGTCTGAGGAGGACGCAAAGCCGTCATGGGCATACCCATAAAGTAAGAAACGTTTTCGACTAGGTGCATCTGATAGTATAAAAATATGGCCATTTGCAACGTGTCAATGCTTTATTTCCTAGCTCCTTAAAGTGATTTCATATTTCTAGTGGAACAACTTTCGCTTTGTATCTCATCACAAAAAGTCACTTTTGAATGAGACAAAAAGGGATACATTGCCATAAAGTACTATGCCCTATTGTGACCTGTTCATGCAATAGGTACGAACGATCATTGTTACATGTGCGAAATAAACAGTTTCCGGTAGTCAGTGAAAATGAAATGCTTATTTATTTTTTCCCTACTAAAACACAGGGATGATCTCCATGCGATGTCTCCTCTGTCAACAGGCATACAAGAAGGTCCCCGAAATGGCGTACCAAATTTGTCAGCCCCGCACTCAGTGTCGCCGAACTGGAGACGGAAATGTACTCTGTACACCGTATAGAGCTATGTGGTACACCAGGAAAGGTACGGTCCCACATCAGACATCGCTGAGATAAGCAGTCGATAAAATATAAATAAATATAACATACAAATAGACTGAGGTTGACGTCGCATAACTAGCTAAAACCGATGCTTTGATGGCTTGATGCTAAACCTCTTTGCTTTAGAACCATCACCCCAGACAGCACTCACATCACCTTTTCTTCGGCAGCTTCGCGCACGTGCGCGGCCGGTTTCCACAACGTGGTGGGCCACTGCGTCACTCCGTCTGCCCAGGCACTGAGTCAGGAGGCCGGCGCAGAGGCGTGCTCCAGCGTCCCGGGAGTACCGATCGAGTTCAACAGCGCCGCCGAGTTCACCCTCTTCAGGCTGATGATGGTCACACACCAGATGAACGAGTCCATCTACATCGGAGTCCGACGCAGCGGCGATGGCTTTGTGAGCGGCGCCGGGGAGCCTTTGGTAAGGGTGGCGGTAGATGCGCCGAGGTGGGGGAACCGGGTCAGGACGTGGGGTAGGCCGCAGATATCAGAAGACGGTAAAGCTCAGACTTCCGTAGTTTATCAGGTGTTTGGTGTGCTGCATTTATCGTGGTGCAGAAGAGAAACAGCTCCACCTTTTCACTGAGGGAGAACCCGGACCAAAGGGCATTTTCTTTTTATCGGCTAAATCTTCATTTCCGGTTTGATTAGGCACGAGAGTAATTTAACTTTATGGACATTGTTGAAAGACAGGCTCTGCACGTTCTTACGGCTTCCTCCGTTAGCCTTGTTTTAACCATCAGAGGGCAGCCAGTAGCCACTGCTCAGTACTTTCCAGATGCGCGCAGCGCGTGATTAAAGGCATTTTATTCCGCTATTTTTGAGGCTGGTTCCTTCGACAGCCGCCCGCCACGCAGTTCCACCGGATTTGGGCGCCGAACGAGCCGGCCTCCACCGGCGACTGCGTGATTCTGGATCCGGAGGTCGACTTCTTTGCCCGCGCGGTGGATTGCAGCACACCGTACCCCACATACTGTCAGCCGAGAGGTGAGCGACGAATTGCCGGCTGGACTTCGGTAGGTAGCGCAGTAATAACGTCACAGAGGAAAGTGATGTTGCAGGCTCATGTCCCGATGCACCGCTTGTGGATATAAGTTAAATCGGCTTTTTCAAAACTCATTTACACAACACTAACAAATTTCCTACTAACCAATTTCAGCACCACGCAACTGTCCGGCTGACTTCGAGTACCAGGGTGACAGCTACAGCTGCTTCCATTTCCACGTGGACACGAGCCGTGTGTGGGACCACACCGCGGCCAGCGAGGTGGGTGGGCACAGGTGCCGGATAATCGCGATAAAAATAAGAGACGGCGAGAGCGTAGCTGCTTTACTAATGAAGAGCCTATGATACTTGAAGCAATAATATGAATAAACACTCAAAACAATGGTCTTACTACATACAATATACATATGTATAATGTATATGTACATTGTATATGTTGACTGAAATAGACAAATACCTACTAATTGTTAATTGTGTTTTTCTATTGAAAAATAACTGGATACTTCAAGAAGCTCTAATGTAAAGGGGTGTACTAGGCTGTGTTGTTGGTGCCCAGCATGAAAATAAGCATTGAACAATTTAAGTGAAGACTTCGACGTACTTTGCATACGAAGCTTCTCGCTTTACTTGGCATTGTAAGAGTGCCCGTCGGTATCCTCAACACTGCCCGCTCTCGCCGCAGTACTGTCGCCACAAAGGGACGTCACTGGCCGTTCCCAGGGACCAGCAACAGCTCGACTTCATCAAGGACCTCGTCGATCGAGTCATCACAAAGGCCGTGGACGCAGTACGTGTTCGGTGTTTATCATTGGTCCTGCGTTTCTTGCAACAGGGCTTTGTGTGGCGATAAGGGTGCTTCGTTTTTTTGTGCACCTTTTTCATTTCTTTTGAATAATCTAGAAAAATCTGACTTCCATAATGCTGTCTGTTCACTGGGATGCAACTTAGCCTGCCATAATGATATCGTAACCCACTGTGAGGTATAACAGCCGGTGAATGAATGAATCGAAGAAAAATGATACTGGCTAACCATAATAAAAACATAAACGTTAAACCGACCAGTTTTCCTCATTGTGGCGATTTTACGACCCCTTTTGTTGTGTCAGGGTGGCTCGGACACGGAGCATACAGGAGCGCTGGGAGCCGTTCTGCTGAATGACGACGGGGACGACCCAAATATCACCGTCACCATCAACAACATCAGGTGGGCTCGTGCACCGACCGGAAATCGGCGGCAATCAATCCATATGTTAGTATACGTTCATATGACACAGTCCAAGGGCTTAAAATTAACGCTTATAGTCATTCACAAGTAATAATGGTTCATGTTGGAAAGAACCTCTCTGCATTCGAACAGTAAGCGATGGCTCGATGGTTAACCCTCGCCCATGTAGGGGGGGGGGGTTGGTGCAACCCCCCCCCCCTGAGGTTTTTCTTAGCTACACGCCGAACCGTTTCAGATAGCCTGCTCAAATTTTCAGTACCCTTAGGGGCATCCTTTGCGCAACTTTTGGTAAAATTTTTGTCAAGGTCATGTTAGGTCACGGAGTTATGACGTCATAAAGGGAACAACCTCCGGCCAGATTTACGCTAAATTGGAGATTGCTTCACATTGGTATAAATGCCGACTGACCTGACACACTGATGGATTGTTTTAGAATCACAACTGGCTGATTTGACATTGGCAAAATGTCCGTTGACATTTTTAAGGTCACTAAAGGTCAAGGTAAGGTCAGTGACCTCGGTTGACCTGTAATGACTTCTTGCACTTGTATGCCTTTTCGGGGTATTTTGATGCCCTGAATTCGAATTTGCTATCCATTTTAGGCATCGTCGGTTGCTTCTTGTAGTTCATTTTGGGTCAGGGTCAGGTCAGTGACGTCACACGCCTGACGTGACCCAATGCACAAATGACCTTGCTGACTTCCGATGCTCCCAACGCATCATTTTTAGAGTTATGACATCGAAATACACACCAAACGATAGAGAATTGATCAATGATCACGATAGTGTAGGTTTCAAGTCGATATCTCTTACCGTTTTGCCGCAATCGGCGCGGAAATCTGAAAAAAAGTTAGATTTTTCCGAACATTTGACCTTTGACCGGTCATAAGTAGGTCAAATGTTGACCTAGGACCAAAAAATATACCACCAATCGCGAGATCTCGTTGAGAGCAATCCGTTGGTCTTTTCCGCTAAGCTCTACGACGCTCCGTTTTCAAACGCCAGGGGGGGTCGCACCAACCCCCCCTGCACGGGCGAAGGTGGCAAAACACCGTTTACGGGCGAGGGTTAAATGATAGGATGGCCTGGAATCTAAACTGTGATTATTTCGGTGGTAGGATTTAGGACGTGATGTGCTGTTATTTCAGATACATCACACACAACCTAACTACATCGATCGGATACTCGTCACGATACATTGAATATTCATGCGTTTTTTTATTTCAGCCCACAACCAACGAAAACCTCCTGGAATTTGCTGAAAGAGTCCATGTCGTCTTCTAAGAGCTGTGCATACACCGTCCAGGGGTCTGATATAGAGCCCAATGAATGCATCGGCAGTGGGTCTCACATAAACTATCCCGTTTGTCAATATCACGGTAAGTAATGCATGCCATAAAACCATATATTCATTTTGGCAATAATCCACAGCTTAACCATATTGCAGATTGATTTTACTGATGCCTATCTGATTGGGTTGGCTAAGGAATACACAGCAGCTTTTACACGGCATTGCCACCTTTGTTAGTTACGCCAGTGACTCTCGTGCACCGCTTGCGGCAGCGTGCTACGCGCTCAACAGCTCAGCCGAGTGCGTGTTCCCGTTCCGCTACAAGGGCCGCGTGTACGGTCACTGCACGCGGCTGGATAGCGACGACGGCAGCGCCTGGTGTCCCACCCAGCTGGTGAACGGCGAGGCCAGTCGCACCAACGGCTCCTTCGCCACCTGTCTGGACTCCTGTCCCGGTGAGAGGCCGCCTGTCTGGACTCCTGTCCCGGTGAGAAACACACAGACCACCTATCTGGACTCCTGTCCCGGCAGAAAAACCACCTGTCTGGACTGGTGTGCCCCGGTGAGAGGCCACCTGTCTGGACTCCTGTCCCGGCAGAAAAACCACCTGTCTGGACTGGTGTGTCCCGGTGAGAGTCACACAGCACCTCTCCACGCGGTGATGCAGTGTCCGGTGGGCAATGTCCCGTGGGTTTGGCTGGTGGGTTCCTAGCTCTCGGGTTGGGAGCGTCCGTCGGGTTTCCCTCGACTGACCCCCCCCCGCTCTCGTGCCAGTGCGGCAGTGTCCGGTGGGTTTCCTGGAGATCGCCGCGCCGCCCCGCTCGGCGCCGATCTGTCTACTGCTCAGCAGTTACCGCGACGAGGAGGTCCTCATCCCGCCCAGGACGCCCGGCCAACAGAGGGACTTCTGCGAGAGACTCGGCTCGCGGCCACTCACCCTGGAGTCGCCCTTCCACTACGAGCTGATCAAAAACAACGTGTCGAAGGTGTTCCCCGAGGTAAGAACGCATGGACTTGTACGATACGCATATAGCGTCTTGGTTAGTTAGATGCTGTTGGGAAGTATGTATGTAGGCATGTATGGAATATGGAAATATGGGATGCGATCTGACAACGCATGAACAGGCGCATGAACACTTTTAACCCTCGCCGGCACAGGGGGGGGGGGTTGATGCAACCCCCCCTAAGGTTTTTCGCGAATAACTCGCGTAAAAAGCGGCCGATCGCGACGAAACTTTCAGTACCCTCGCATTGATCAATTTTACACCTACCCTGAAAATTTCATGACCCTGACCCCAATGACCTTTGACCTGTGACCTCTTTTCTGTGACCATGTTTGGCCGAAATCGCGGTTCGGCGCATGTCGGCTCGCATTAGCCGCGCGTTTGCAAGCTTTTCGTGGTTTCAAACGTTCAAGCATGTGATTTGATGTTGCTCCCATGCATTAGGGTGGGTGTCAAGGTCACCTGAAGGTCAGGTCAGGTCATTGACCTTTGGTGACCTCGGGTGACCTCGGTTCACTTTTTCGAGTTTTACATGTTTCTAGGCTAGTTTTTGGAGCTGAATTCGAATTTAGCAACCATTTGAACATTTACGAAGTAGTTTTGGTGCCTTCGTAACATGTTACGAAGCTGTCCGAGGCGGTTGACACGTATTACGAATACCCGTCACAACCCCTACCGGTTGACCTGACCTGACCTGACCCGACCTGGTCTAAATGCTTAAAGACATCATCTCTGATCAAAACTAACACGATATTCGTGATCAGCACCCCGGAAAACCACATAGCAGCCACACTTTACGACTTTCTAACAGGTCCCGATTTTCCCGGTTTTCGGGTCATTGACCTGACCTGGAAGGTCACCAGATGACCTAGGACCTTAAAATTGGGTATCATCGGCTTCCTCTCGTGACGGGCAACACGCTCGTTTTTTTCCCGCGAAGCTCTAGCTCGATCAGGGGCCAAACGCGAGGGGGGTCGTACCAACCCCCCCCCCCCTTGTGCCGTCGAAGGACTCAAAATGGCCTGTGCCGGCGAGGGTTAAGCCGGTCCCGTAGCTCAGTCGGTTGAGCGTTGGACTCCGCGTGATGAGAGCACGCGTTCCCGGTTAAAACAGTCCGAGTTCGAAGCGCGACGGGCGCTTGACGTTTATAGGCCTCCTGACGGGTATGGTTGCGGTTGGTGGCAGGCCGTAGCCAGGCGAAGTCAGTGAGGGGACCGGCCTTGCGCGGCTGTGTGCGCACGTTAAACTTTGGACTCTAAATTCTGCCATAGAATCGGAATTGCGCGATCGGAGGGTAGAGGGCAGGGTCACCGCAACAAGCTTCGCTTAGTGGTGGCTCTGTCCTTGTGAATCCTTCCTATCAAAAGTTTCGGACTAAATTAAAAAAGTAAGATTAGAGGTCATCGAGTTCGAAAATGACATATTCTTCTTGCTCCCGTTTTCAGCCATGCGGTCAGCTACTAAATTGAGCACAAGATATGCTGCCCATGTAAATGCCTGTCTTCTGCACTTCGTTAGTCTGTCTCTGTCTGTGCTTCCGTCTCTACCACTGCCTCCCTCCATCCCGCATCTCTCTCTCTCTCTCTCTCTCTCTCACTCTCTCTCTTTCTCTCTCTCTCTCTCTCTCTCTCTCTCTCTCTCTCTCTCTCTCTCTCTTTCGCTCTCTCTCTCTCTTTCGCCCTCTCTTTCGCTCTCTCTCTCTCTTTCTCTCTCTCTCTTTCTTTCTTTCTTTCTTTCTTTCTTTCTTTCTTTCTTTCTTTCTTTCTTTCTTTCTTTCTTTCTTTCTTTCTTTTTCTTCTCTCTCTCTCTCTCTCTCTCTCTCTCTCTCTCTCTCTCTCTCTCTCTCTCTCTCTCTCTCTCTCTCTCTCGCACTCATTCACAGCATCTAATGCCTGCGATGGGGATTTCTCTTCCAGTTTAAGCAGTACGTGGCCTTTGGCGGCTACTATTGGAACGCCGCCGACCCGCACCTTATCCTGGACTCTGGCCGTCGCCCCTCACCCCGAGTCCTGGAGCTCGTCAAGAGCAGCTTCGACGACGCCCTGTTGGGGACGTACAACACCACGTGCGTCGTGGTGAGTAGCCACCGCTGCCGAGACAGGGGTCGTACATATAGTGAATTACCTACTTTGTGCTGCAAACCTTGCCCTCTAGAAAACACGTAACAAATAGTGCATGTGTTTTTCCGTGTTTTTCTACTTGTCTCTATCAATATAAACCTTGCCCTCTGATCCCACGGCCCTGAAAGGGTCCCCCTGAATTCCCCCTGAATTCCCTGAATTTGATTTTTTGTTCATAGGCCTATGAACAAAAAAACAAAATTCAGGAAATAAAACATATCGGTAAAGCGCATTCACATATATCTTCGGTAAATCGCCGGTATGGAGCTTATTGAGGCAACGACAAACATTTAGATGTAACAAAACTGAACTCCAGCAGCACTTTTATCACAGACTACCTATTGCTCACCATCCATTGTTCATAAAATAATGACAACAGATTTGTTTCGACCCAATGATGCATAAACATCACATATTGATGTTTCAGATGAAAGGCGACACTTTCCAGAACGTGCCTTGTGACGTGGGAATGGCGTATCACGCATGTGAAGCGAATGGTAAGCAGTAAGCACAGCTACAGTTGATAATTGTCGATAAGCCAGCCATGCATTCATTAGCGCAGTTGCTCTCTCCCTCCCTCCCCGTCTCTCTTTTTCTTTCTTTTTTCTCTCCCCCTTCTGTCTCTTCTCACGCCACTGGCATTAAAACGCAATGCGCCAATGTCATTTAAGCATACATCATGACTTGATGCTTTTGTATACGCATCCTCGGCTATCAGTTTAAAGCTTTTAAACAACTTTACTTATCGCCCGGATGGTTACTTTGATTTCCCACAGCAGATTCGCAGCAGAGTCTGAGCACCCTTTGCGCCCCGTTGGCTGTTGTTGCGATGTGTGACGGCGGTCCCCGCCCCGGTTTCCGCTGCAGTGGAGTACACAGAGTCAGGTCCTGCGGGCGGCCAGCTCTGCCAATTCCCGTTCACGTACGCCGGCCGAAACTACTCCTCCTGCGCCGAGAACACGGACCGTGGCCAGGCCTGGTGCGCTACCGTCGTCACCGGCGACGGCCTGGTGGACGGAGACAACTGGGGATACTGTCCTCCCGGCGGTGAGATAACTGGGGATACTGTTCTCCCGGCGGTGAGATAACTGGGGATACTGTCCTCCCTGTGCTAGGATAACTGGGGATACTGTCCTCCCTGTGCTAGAATAACTGGGGATACTGTCCTCCCGGCGGTGAGATAACTGGGGATACTGTCCTCCCGGCGGTGAGATAACTGGGGATACTGTCCTCCCTGCGGTGGGGTAACTGGGGATACTGTCCTCCCGGCGGTGAGAGAACTGGGGATACTGTCCTCCCGGCGGTGAGAGAACTGGGGATACTGTCCTCCCGGCGGTGAGATAGCTGGGGATACTGTCCTCCCTGTGCTAGGATAACTGGGGATACTGTCCTCCCTGTGGTAGGATAACTGGGGATACTGTCCTCCCGGCGGTGAGATAACTGGGGATACTGTCCTCCCGGCGGTGAGATAACTGGGGATACTGTCCTCCCGGCGGTGAGATAACTGGGGATACTGTCATCCCTGTGCTAGGATAACTGGGGATACTGTCCTCCCGGCGGTGAGATAACTGGGGATACTGTCCTCCCGGCGGTGGGGTAACTGGGGATACTGTCCTCCCGCGGCGGTGAGAGAACTGGGGATACTGTACTGTCCTCCCGGCGGTGAGATAACTGGGGATACTGTCCTCCCGGCGGTGAGATAACTGGGGATACTGTCCTCCCTGCGGTGGGGTAACTGGGGATACTGTCCTCCCGGCGGTGAGATAACTGGGGATACTGTCCTCCCTGTGCTAGGATAACTGGGGATACTGTCCTCCCTGTGGTAGGATAACTGGGGATACTGTCCTCCCGGCGGTGAGATAATTTATGATACTGTCCTCCCAGCGGTGGGGTAACTGGGGATACTGTCCTCCCGGCGGTAAGAGAACTCGGGATACTGTCCTCCAAGCGGTGGGGTAACTGGGGATACTGTCCTCCCGACGGTGAGAGAACTCAGGATACTGTCCTCCTAGCGGTGAGATAAATAGGGATACTGTACTGTCCTCCCGGTGGTGAGAGAACTGGGGATACTGGCCTCCCAGCGGTGAGAGAGCTGGGGATACTGTCCTCCCAGCGGTGAGAGAACTGGGGATAATGTCCTCCTGGCGGTGAGTCAGTGCAAGAAACGAATGTGATGCTGGTTTTCTACAAATACAGACCGGTTTGAATAACGTCAGCTAGTGGCTTCAGCTCCAGACCCTTCGAATGATTGCAATTTGCATCAACCTAACATCTAGTATCATGTACTAAACTCCGCGATATCGGTTTTAGCTGGCACACATACCATATCGGTACAAGTAAATCAACAATCTGTATCAGCTGGTTATCATTAACTACTTACTTTTATTTCAATTTAATTGATGCTGATACTCATGTGCCAGCACCATGCACACAGCGGTCAGAACTGAGCAGTGTGGCCGGCTGGTCGGTCAGAGTAGCTGCCCTGAGCTGAGCAGTGTTACCGGCTGGTCGGTCAGAGCGACTGCCCTGAGCAGTGAGCACTGAGCAGTGAGCAGTGTGATCGGCTGGTCGGTCAGAGCGGCTGCCCTGAGCAGTGAGCACCGAGCAGTATGACCGGCTGGTCGGTCAGAGCGGCTGCACTGGGCAGTGTGACTGGCTGGGCTGGTCGGTCAGAGCGACTGCACTGAGCAGTGTGGCCGGCTGGTCGGTCAGAGTGGCTGCCCTGAGCTGAGCAGTGTTACCGGCTGGTCGGTCAGAGCGGCTGCCCTGAGCAGTGAGCACTGAGCAGTGTGGCCGGCTGGTCGGTCAGAGCGGCTGCACTGGGCAGTATGACCGACTGGTCGGTCAGAGCGGCTGCACTGGGCAGTGTGACTGGCTGGGATGGTCGGTCAGAGCGACTGCACTGAGCAGTGTGGCCGGCTGGTCGGTCAGAGTGGCTGCCCTGAGCTGAGCAGTGTTACCGGCTGGTCGGTCAGAGCGACTGCCCTGAGCACTGAGCAGTGAGCAGTGTGGCCGGCTGGTCGGTCAGAGCGGCTGCACTGAGCAGTGTGACTGACTGGGCTGGTCGGTCAGAGTGGCTGCCCTGGGCAGTGTGACTGGCTGGGATGGTCGGTCAGAGTGGCTGCACTGAGCAGTGAGCACTGAGCAGTGTGGCCGGCTGGTCGGTCAGAGCGGCTGCCCTCTCCCGGCAGACGAGCGGACGGTGGCCGGCCCGGCCAGCCCGGAGCGCTGCCAGTTTCCGTTCATCGCCGGCGGCGTGCGCTACGAGCGGTGTGACTGGCTGCACCGAGCAGTGTGACTGGCTGGGCTGGTCGGTTAGAGCGGCTGCACCGAGCAGTGTGGTCGGCTAGTCGGTCAGAGCGGCTGCCCTCTCCCGGCAGACGAGCGGACGGTGGCCGGCCCGGCCAGCCCGGAGCGCTGCCAGTTTCCGTTCATCGCCGGCGGCGTGCGCTACGAGCGGTGCACCAAGGTCACCGGGCTCACCACGCCGGACACGGGTGGACGCTTCTGGTGCAGCACCGCCAACGACGCGGCCGGCGTCATGACCCGTCCGGACGCCTGGGGCGAGTGCCACGAGAACATCTGGCCGCCCGGTGAGACGCCGCCGCCGCCGCCGCCGCCGCCCCTAAGCATAACCCATGTCTGTGTGAAATAGGCATTCGCAAGTTGAGCAAAATCATACATTTTTTAAAGACCCCCAGACAAAGCGAAAGATTACCAAACTGTCCCATATCAACCGAGTACGTAATGCGCAGTGCGCACCTATGTGTAATGCACATACATGCTATGATACCTATGCTTGTATATACGTATAATAATTCATCGATAAAACAATCCAACATTTTAAGAGTGGGTACAATATTTACGTCTACCTACTCATATAATTGAATGCACATATCTGATATGTAAGTACCTACATGTGAATCATGCATACTTTTCACCTACATATATGTAGTATAGGTATACCTATATTGGACACAATTTTTTGTCTTCTGACTTCACATGATACTTTTATATGCTTATTCGACAGATAACCCGTACTGCGATGCACCGTTTGAGGGCAGCGGAGAGGGCAAATGTGCCTATCTCCATCACGAGAAAATCACCGATGACACTGAAGCTGCAGGAGTGTGTAGCAATATCAACGCTGAGCTAGCTATTCCATTCTCCAAAGAACATCAGGTAAGATGGCCAACTGTCTCTGTGGGTCTGACTCTGACTCTGTCTGCTCCAACGTGCGTCTATCTCTGCCTTTATTTATGTCAAACTTGTCGAATTTTATATTTTTCCGCAAGCCAAGATAAAGAGGATTCCTCATGGCTCCGAGTGGAAGATAAGGATATCTTTTCCAAGCGGGTTACTGAAAAACCGAGCGACGAAGGAGCGAGGTTTTTCTGTAACACGCGAGGAAAAAATATCCGATCTTCCACGAGTGAGCCATGAGGAATCCTATATCTTTCTATGTTGAGGTTTATTGCTAATTAATGAAATATTATATTTAAATGCATTCATCTATGTAAAAATAGATTCAGAGTAGTTTGTTCTTATTTCATAAGTTTCATCCATAGTTAAACAACCATTATAAAAATGTCGTTCGGGTATTGACCCATCGTGACCCATCATCACATGAGCTCTTGATTTTTCGCTATGAACCCTCGAGACCTTATCTTTGCATCTCAGAGGGATGCAGATATAACAAATTCTTATCTTTGCATCTCAGAGGAGTGCGAGATAGAAAAATCCCTGCACTGTAGACCCAATGGCAAATAAACCTCAACTAGAAAGATATCTCGTTCAAATACCATTTTGCTGGACCCCAGAAAGGTGAAATCCAGTAAATTTCTAAGCAGGAGAAAACTTTGTCGAGATACGAAAAGGTACTTGATGAATTCATAGATGTCGGCATCTACATATGTAGTTAGAGCATTAACCCGCGCCCCACTGGGGGAGGCTATTCATAGCCCCCCTCCCGTTTTTTCTGCAATAACTTCTAAACCGCTAGACCTACCGCCACCAAACTTTCAGTACCTTCGGCTGCATCAATTTGACATTTTGTGTCAACATTTGAACTCCGTATCTATCATAGGTCGGCCGGAAATGCCGTCAGAGTGACGTCATGTTCGGCCGATTTCGACGCAAAACATTGAACCACGGGAATCGCTCCCAAGAGCTCAGTTTTTTTAGCTAGATCCAATTTCTTTGCATGAGAGGACTCCGCATAGATTGCGCTATGAAACTGCTATCTCGAATTTTCAATTTTTTGAAAATTTAGAAAATTATATATATATTAAAATTCAAAATTTGTATTTCTATCTTTTTTCAATAACTTTTTGACATTTCGAAAAAAAACGGAATATATATGATAGAAATAATGCTTATGACTTACTCAACCAAGTTTTAGCCAGATATCTTCAAAAATGGCCAAGTTATACGCATTATAGCAAAAAATTTCACAATTTTATTTTTTCAAATCAATTTTTTGTACGAATTTGACATCGTACACCAATATAAATAGCACCATCGTGTTCCTGAGCTCAAACTGCATCCGATAGACATGTTTTTTGTTGAAAAATTTCACTTTGAAATTTGACCTTTTTTGACCTGATAGTGACCTGACCTCAGCTATATTCAGATAAAAATGGCCTCAAATGACACAGGCGACACCGAATTCGAAATCTATGGCCTAAATAAACTATAAAACATGTGTCACGTTACCGACTTATGACATAAGATTTCCGTGACCTATGATGACCTGACCCCGACCTGAAAATCAAAGTACAAGTTTCGTACCCTCAGGGTATCTAAAACATCTGTTCACGAGTGTGTAAACCAAAAATCAGCCTGATCTGACATGTAAGACGGCAGCCAGAGCCCAAAAAGTGAACAAGCCAAATATCGATAATTTTTACTTTGACCTGACCTGTTTTTACTTTGACCTGACCTGTGACGTCATCAGTGACCTCGAGGTCAATGAAATTAGGATTCACTCGACAGTTTTTCCGGGGCTATCAGATGCCGTTTGAATTTGACGATCGGCCCAGCAGTTTCGGAGTTAGGAGGGGGGGGGGGGGGGGGCTATGAATAGCCCCCCCCCCAGTGGGGCGTGTTATACACAGACCCCAGTGGGGCGCGGGTAAACTGTATTTCGTTGGAATGCCTACAGGACCTTTCAGATGTTTCTTTTATCTTCCCGTGTTTATTACAATGAAATCAATGCCTTTTCCAGGAAGTAATTGACGAATTCATCCAGGAGAAGGACAAAACATATTTTCCAAACTTTGACTACATCCGCACCTCTGGCTACAAGAGCAATGGTCAATGGTTCTGGAATGGTGGCCTGGATATCGGTACGTAGTTACTCGATTTTACACATTTCTCGTGTTACTTGAAGTTCACCGGCATTGGACTCGTGAAAACCCAAGTGTGTGCAGTCTGTTATATACAGGGTGTCCCAAAAGTAAGGTCATCATTTGTTTTGGCTACACCGCCAAAAATACGCGATGGATAGAAATAAATAGGACATCATATGAAAGAGCATTTTATAAAATTCTATTCTGATATACATATGAGTCAATACATTGGCTCGTAGCCCCACATTTGCTGCTTTTCTGCATGGCTACCATTTCGGGCCGCGTGCACGAATAGACTGCGTTTTACTTCTTCCACTATTCTGGAGCGATTCTCTGGTGAGATGCCGCCTATGTTTGCTCGGAGGGATCATCCTTTAGTTCTTCCCGGCTCGTTGGGTTGTCCTAAAAGACAACCTTTCCGTTGTGTACCCAGATAATAAAAATATGAAGGTGTAACGTCAGGTGACCGCGGAGGCCATTCAATGGCGTTGCCCTGACTGAAAATTACGCGATCTCACATCCACTCTCGGAGACAATGCATGATCTTCAGGACGGTGCAAGGATGGTCTCCATCCTGCTGAAACCACTGCTGATTGATGGAGTCGGCACAGCTGCGTTGCGACGAGCGGAAGAACCACTGGGAGGACTCTCGGCCACCTCTCTTGATTTATTTTCACCCGATTCCCGCTGTCGTCCTCAGGACCTCGAAGCACAGGTGGCTAAGTATACATGCCCTGTGCGTACATTATACCTTTTTCTGACGTTTTACCGGTTGAGGCGAAACTATGCATGAGTTCAGAGATAGGGCGAGCTGATAGGGTCTGCTTAGGGCCAAAAACTGGGCGGTATTTACCCTTTGTTTTAATGACGGACCCTCTCTAAGAGTTGAATTTCGACCTTCTCAGTTGTATGCCTACTGCTCGGTGTAGTTATGATCAAAAATGGTTTAAGCATGCAAGAAAATAATTTTATGGATGTACCTTGCACGTGTTAAAATTGGAAGTGATTCGGACTCTTAATTCTCGAGATATTTAAGTTTTAAATCATGACCTTACTTTTGGGACACCCTGTATATGATATTGTTTGCAATATCCTTGTCCACACTGACCCGCGAGTGACTTGCCCGACCTGTGACCTCAAAATTCCACTTTCAAGTACCATACTCATTCGAAACGTCTGGTCACGTTCTTTCGTTTGCCGCCTCGCGCGTTGCGTTGCACCCATTGGTTCTCGAGTTATCGTCTGGGGGCGTTTAAAGCCCCCCTCCCCCAGCAACGACGTTAAACGACGGGTTAAACGATTCGATTACGACGCAAGCATACAATTATCTGTGGGATGCATGTCACCATTTATCTCTTGCCGCCCACAATAAGTTCGGAAACTAACGCGTGTCGCTCGCTTCCCGGGACTGGTTAGCCAGACCTGTGTCCAAATGTAAGTACGTACGTTTACCTGTATATGCATTATGCAGTTACATGCAACCCGCAAGTACTTACGTAAATCCACCAGGTCATACTCGTATACGCCCAGGCAAACGACTGACTGTTTTAGTATCCTTGTGTACTGGCGCCCGTCCCTTCTCTGATTGCTCCTCCCTGTCTCCATACGTGCAGGATTCTTCAACTGGGCGGCAGCCGGCGAAGCGGCCAAGGAGGGGTGCGTGTTCATTGACACGACCGTGGGCCCTCCGTACCGCTGGGTGGTGCTCGCCTGCGACACGCCCGCCTACACCGTGTGCCGCGCCGCCTGTGCCGACGGACAGATCACGTTCAATGGTGAGCTTGGCGCCCAGCAGCAGCCCTGCAGGCACGCCGGGCGGTCCGACAAGGCTCCAGTCAGCATCAGAGCTGCCCATCAGTCCCATCGAGGACCGGCCTCACATTTGGTGATAGTCCTGGGATGAAGTCGTAGCGCCCAGTGCATACCAATAGCAATCAGTTGAGTCGCAGCTCTTTGAAAGGGGACAAGAAAGGGGGAAGCATCTACCTCCAGTTATAACTGCCGCCCCCCCCCCCCCCTGGTCCTCTTTCCTCGATGCCTTCTTGATTGATCTCTAGCAGTCACAGTTTTGCGGATTCATGGAAACGTTTTGGACGAATAAGATGTAAGTACCTGTGAGAAGTGATGCACCACGGAGCGATGTCGCCTCCGAAGAGGCCGACGCCCGCCTTGCTGCCGCCCACAGGTCGGTGTCTGGAGGTGAGCACCACGACCGTCACTGTCAGCGTCCTGGCCGAGGCGGCGTGCCACGATAAGGGTCAGCGGCTGTTCACGCCCTCCAGCGACGCCGAGCTGCGTCAGCTGCAGGGTGTGATGGCCGCCCAGTACCCCGGCAAGCTGCCGGCCATCATCGGCCTGACCGAGTGTCGGTTCTCGTTCGCCGACCTCTGGCGGCGGAGCCGCGCCGACCGGCAGGTGCCACGCACAGTGTGAGTGACGACCGCCGTCCACCGGCCGCTTACCACAGGGCAGCGAACGCCTCAACCCGTCAGCCACATCCGGGTCACTAAAAATCCAAACTTTTTCAAAGCAAAAAACAAAAAACAATTAAAGACATGTAATGGAGAAAAACTACCAATTAATCCAGAGTGTCGAGCGCTCACGTGCATTGCAGACACAGCGTTATTGTGTAATTTTGTTTTGAATGGAAATAACGTTGAACCAGTCGACTAAATGCTAAATTTCAAGATACAACAGAACCTAAGCTGTCATGTCATGAGTAGATCTGTGATGAACTCAAGCGAAGCGGTAATGTAAGGTGTCGTGGCGGTTCCACTTATTCTTCTTGTCTATTATTGTTGTTAATTTGACTGGCGCTGCCCAATTTGACGACGAAGGTTTATGTGTTCCGTGCTACTTTCCATTTTTACTAATAAGTTTTTTATTTTTGCTAACCACAGAGACGGCAAGCTGGCTCGCTGGGCAATTCCTGGTACCAATTATCAGTATGATCAGCCGTTTCCTTGTCTGGATGAGACCTCTCAGGGCTTGTATTTCACTCTGGAGCCGCCCTCGGCTCCGCAGCCAATGACGGCGTATGCGAACACCAAGTCGCTCAGCCTGAACTACATATGCGCCCCCGATTTGACGGGTGAGTATGATTAGTCCAAGGCAGTCGTCACCTTCGAGCGATGTTAACGAACGGCCATTGTGGCAGTCCTTGTTGCGCGCAGTGATACGATTTTCTTCCACCTTCACAGCGCGATTCGAGCCTTTTTAGTTCCTTGTTGTCGCCTTATTACTTATTATCTTTGTTTTCGGACTTCCTTGTTCAATTGAAAAGGACACTGTACGTGGAAGGCTTGCGAGGTTAATACATAATATATGCGTACGTAAAAACATACATGATGATAATTAACATAAATGGAGAGAAGATATTCGATTGCCCGCAACCAATCTTGTGACCACGCATCAACATTTTTTACATGTCCAGGGAACAGCATTTCAGTGCTCGATATGCGTCAACATTGTCACCTGAAAATTATTGCAATTTAATTATGGCAAAACCGATGTCGTGCCAATTACGTTTTGTTAGAAAACGCCGTAATTGTTTTTTGACTGTCCTCCATGTCGCAACATTTATGCGTTAATATTGTTCGTTGTGTTTTACAGATCCTTGCCCGGAAGGCTACCACCCCCTCGACGACCAGTGCATCAAGGTCTCCGACACCACTGCAACCTACCACGAGGCACAGGCGGCATGCCACGAGGACAATGCGGACTTGCTATACATTAAGTATTTTCATGAGGTGAGATACTAACATCAGGCTTCTGAAGGTTGCACGATGGTCTCATAGGCCCCAGATTGTCTCTTGAGGGTTCAGCGCAGATTCTTAACCCTCGCCCGTATTGGTGTTTTTGCCAGCGTCTTACATATAGGTAGGGACGTACAGTGGCCACAAAAAAATCTTGACATGGGGAAAATGCAGTGAAAATTGAGTGATTGAATATGTCAGTTTGTACAACTGGTATCTCCTGTATCAGAGGGGAATAGTTGGATCCCCCCCCCCTGCCATTCGGTCCTGATCGAGGTAAAGCTTCGCGGAAAAACACAAGCGTGTTGCCCGTGACGAGAGAAAGCCGATGATACCCAATTTTAAGGTTCTAGGTTATTGGTTGACCTTCCAGCTCAGATCAAACCATCAACGACTTTAAAGTCCGGAAAATTGGGACCTGTTAGAACTTGATATAATGAGGTTGTAATGTTTCTCGGCGTCCTGATTACGAATTTCATGTAAGTTTTGACCACAGGACACGGGTGATGTCTTCATACATTTAAAACCCTCGCCCCCACATGGGGGGAGGGGGTGCCACCCCAGGTAGTTTTTCTGCTCTGCTCTGCACTCAACATTTTTAGAGCTAGAAGCCTGAACTGCTGCTGAACGTGCGTGCCACATTGCAGCGCTACACTGTGCCGCTCCTCGTCAAGGCACTGAATTCTGCCCAGCTTACTCGGCAGTTCGTGTGGATTGGATACGACAGGATCGACGATCCCACATTCACGAACATCTGGGGCGAACCTGGCTCCTTTAAACAAGGTGAGTATGTTTTTTTCATAAAGTAGGCTCAAATGTGTAAATTAACCCGCGCCCCGTAGGGCTACCGGCGGACCCTACCACCCGTAGGGGGGGGGGGCCGTTTCGGCCCCCCCCTAAGATCTCGGAAAGTTACCGGCCGATTTTCAAAATTCAAACGGCGTTCGATAGCCCCACCCGGGAACTACCTTGTGACCAAATTTCATTGACCTAGGTCAAACCGATGACGTCACAGGTCAGGTCAAAGGTCAGATTTTCACCGTTCACAGGCAATTCAAGAAATGTGCTGTGAAAGCGAGTAAATTGGTAATTTATTGAAAACCATCGATGGTACATTGTTCGTCAAACAATACTTTGCTATCTGAGGTCACTGATACCAGGTCAGGTCACAGCGAGGTCAGGTCACCGGGGGTCACAATATGAATGTGTCGTGTGATACATGTTTTATGGTCCATTTTACATGACAAATGCGATTATGTGGGTTAGGCAGCCTTTGGGGCCAGCCTAGGTCACGTTTTTGTGAAGGTCAGGTCAAGGTCAGGTCAAATTAGGTCAAATTTCAAAGTTGATATTTTTGCATAAAATGGGTATTGATTCGATGCAGCTCGTCACGGGGAGTCTAATGGTGGTCTTCGTTTTGCTCTACGAGCTCTAGAATTGCCAAAAATTGAGTTTAAAAATTTGACGTCATCATTTTTGAACAGTTTTTTCGCTATAACTTGGCCAAAAAACGAGGTATCGATCTGAAATTTGGTATGTAGATTGAAGACGGTAGGCACTATCACATATATTCCGGTTTTTTCGAAACTCAAAAAACTTTTTGGATTTTTAGGCGAATATATCCAAAAAATGCTTTTTTGATTTTTGGGGATCAAAACTCAAAAATTTCAAAAATTCGAGATAGCAGTTTTGTAGCCCTGTCAATTCTACACCTTTTATGTCTTGATCATTTTTCTGTATCTTCAAAGCTGTAGTCCTGACAGGTCTTCTCGCGAAGGTCTTTTTTCGGTCGAAAATGACAGAACATGACGTCACTCTGACGTCATTTGTGGCCAATCTATCATAGCCTCTGTAAAAATTTTTGGTCACAATGTGTAAAATTGATGCCCGGAGGGGTCCTGAAAGTTTGGTTGCGATATCTCCAGCCGTTTAGGAGATATCGACCGAAAAGGACAGGGGGGGGGGCCGTTTCGGCCCCCCCCCTACGGGGCGCGGGTTAATGGACAGGTTGACAAAGCCGGGACCCTCACTAAGCATCATCATCATCTTCATCATCATCATCCTCATCTCCTGTGATATCCTCCGGTATCAAATGTTTCACATTTGAATTCGAATAACTTTTGGGTACACTTAACAGTCCACTCAGCCATTTTGAGGCGAATCTAGAATCAGTCTATTCACATTTGCGCACGTGCAGACTGAGACAACACACTCATGAGACTCATGGGCATGGGCAGCATCCGAAACAGTCCCTTCCAGCGTAGCAACTTTGAGCGCAATCAGCGCACCCTGTCTTGAGCTGTAGAAGAGGCCTTTGCACGTGCACACGTACAAAGTGAGATCTCAATTGACCTTAGTTTATACCCTACCACTGGTCGAATCGATCCTATTTACCTGATGCACAAAATGACAGGGTAAACAGCAATATATGCAATGAAGTTGCGGTTCAGAGAGTTTGCTTACTGCTGATAACAAACAAAGTAAAAATCTTCAACGATTCCAAAATATTTCTATAAGCTTGCTTCCACTTGTTGCTTCCCGGTTCACCACCCGGTCTGTTGTTCGACATATTGTTTATCCATGCCCTTCTGTCAATCTCAGTTCGATGCTAAGTGCCAACGTGACGTGTCTTTGATTTCAGGATGGTTGAAGAATGGTCCAGGAACCACACCGCAGGACTGTGTCATTTTACAGAAGGATACCAGCTGGTTAGGAGGATACGTATTCAACGTTCGAGACTGCAACGAACGCCACCACTATGCGTGCACGTACAGGGGTAAGTCCGAATCAAGTCCTTTTAAACGTTTAAACGTTTGAGACCTTTCAGAAACACTTTAATTTCACTACTATGCACACGTACTTTTAGTCAAATTGATAAAGCCGAGGGTAGGTACTGGAAATTTCATGTCGGTACATTTAGCGCTTTTAAAGATATTGCAGGAAAACGGAACGGGCCTACCCTCAGTCATCAGCTGGTCCAATCGTATCTGTTTTCATTCATTTGACGTTAAAATTTCACGACAGGTCAGCAGAGGAAAAACATTTGTCCGGAGGAGTTCCCGTTCTACTACCAAGGAGACTGCTTCCGAGTATCAAACAGTAGCCTCACATTCGCCCAGGCAGAGGTGAGGTGTGCTTATCACTCTTATAAGTTCATACACAGACTTCTCTATATATAGAGAAGTCTGTGGTTCATATGATGCCTATATAACTGCGAATGCGCTCTTGTTTACCAAGCTCGAGTTCAGACAGAGGCGAAGCGGAGGGTTGGGTGGTTGGTACCGTCTTTCCCTCTGGCTGAGCGTCTGTGGAATACCGGTGACACTGGTGAGGATTAAATATCAGGTCCAGAACCCCCAAATGGGGATTGAGTTGTTTTTTTTCGGAAAAAACGTCGACAGACATGGACCGTAAAACAAAGATATTCAGTATTCACACCTTCTCGTTTGTCTTGCCAAGGCGTGCCAAATGTGAAATGGTAGGTATAACTTTATAGATATATATTGAGTAGGAAAAACCTACAGCACATGGGTGGACGCGTTTCGTCAGAGACTTTTTCAACACCCGAATATCGACAAAACAATACGAACACACAAGAACTGTGTGTGTTTTGTCGATATTCGGGTGTTGAAAAAGTCTCTGACGAAACGCGTCCACCCATGTGCTGTATGTTTTTCCTACTCAATATATATCTATTTGTCTGTATAACTTTATGTTCAAAATCAACAGCTTTTTTTAAGTTTCATGTTGGCCTCACTCCAGGGCCTTGGATGATCTTTGATCAACTTGACTGGCTTGACAAACGTGAAGTACTATACGACACATTCATGGGCGCTAATTACGAATCTGGCTTCGCATTTGTCAGGAGCGTGGTGTGTCTGTGGGGTTGGCCGTTGGGGGGGGGGGGGATGAGTGTGAAGCCGACTGTGCTGCTCTCTGGCAGGTGGAGTGCTCGCTGAGTACGAGCGGGTACAGCAAGCTGGCCGCGCCCCAGGCCAGCCACGTCAGCATGTTCGGCTACTTGGCGGCACGCTTTGACGACCTCTGGGTGGGTCTGGACGACCGCGCCGGCGGGCTCACCAACAGGTACGGCTGCCACCTGGTGCGGGTGGCCTAAAAGGGTGTCAAACCATGGAAAATTATCAAATAGACGAAAAAGTGCGCAAAAAAAGCGCCTTGACTGAGAAAGCTGACTGAGCTGAGCGATCGACCTCGAGGGCGGATAGGAACTATACTGAAATGATGTGGTGCTGCCTATGAGCAATTCAAAACTGAGATACAGATAACTAAAGAAGAGGACAGCTGCACTCACAAACAACTTGTCAGACAGGGTAGGCTCTTATGCACAATGTCAGCATTCAATAGTGATGGGGTTCTATTCTGGAACTGTCACAGCTTCTGCAGGCAGTCGACCCTCATCCACTGTGTGGCGACGTGTCTCGTGACCCGTATCCACTATCCAGTGTGTCAATGACACACCATGACCCTGGACCGTAACTTATCATTCCTGATCACGCATAACACTAAATTCAAGGCTGTATCTTATAATTCAAGGCTAAGAAACCAAAACCTCATTTAAAAATCTCAAATTAAAATCGGGTTAACTCAGTTTTATTTGCAAGATTTTTTACACAATTAGCCGTCGGGATGCATCAGGCAGACAGCAAAGGGCAAGATATCATCAAATGAACCTTAGGATGAAGTATAATGTCGGGTACTGCGGGATGCCTAGGAGAAGAGTTGCGCCCTGGCCGGCGGGGATAGGTGAGCTGACCTCTCCGTGCTGCCCTTGCCCCCAGTGGCGGCGACCCGGTGTTACCGGCCACGGTGGCACGCCTGCCCACACCGGACGCCAGCAGCCGGCGGCGCCGCTCCACCGGCCAGTGTATGGCCATCCGGGACGGCGGCTACCAGCTCACCGACTGCCAGGAGAGGCGCCGGCACGTCTGCCTGCTGGTCAGGAGCCCCAGCTGTCCGGACCGCTTCATCAGACACCAGGACAACTGCTACCTGGTAGGGACCCGGCAGCGGCGTGCCGTTGCCGATCTGACACTGTCACTGTGCCGCCTTGTGCCTGCGATTCGCCGGTGTGAGAGTCCGATTGACGCCGCGCTCCACATTGGCAGGTACCCAACCAGCGACCACGCGGGGAAGACTACGCCACCGCCGAGCGAAAGTGCGCCCTCACCGGCAGTTTCGTGGCGGCTGACCGCGACGCACGTCAAGCGGACTTTCTGAAGGCCCTTTGGACCGCAGGTGAGTGTCCAGCATGGTAGATTGTCCGGACCAAGATTACTTTAATACTGTCCTGACGAGTAGCATCGAAATCAGCGTCATGGGCCATAATGCGCAGCCTTAGACAATTCTTATCGCTATCAGGTTTAGGCGCGGCCTATCGGTCTGTGTCTGTGTGGCGAGCTATACGGATAAAAGCTTTGCGCTCTATTAAAGTCCCTCAGCGTGGAACGGAATCCCCCTCCCCTGAACCAATCCATCACTCATACATCACTCAGCGCCGTTCGATAACCGGGGGTCTGCCTCAGTGAACCACACCTCGTACTGGGTGGGACTCAGCTCAGACGAGAAGGACGAGACGTCGCTCTTCTACCCCAACTGGGAGCCGTTCACCTCTGGCAACTACAGCCGGTTCGACGCGCCGCCGTCGATGGCCGCGCCCGCCTGCACCGTCGTTGCCAGTGACGACGGGTTCGCCACCTGGAGAGAGTCATCGTGCGTCCAGAGGGCGAACATTATCTGCCACTACCAGGGTAGGTGGAGAGGGCAAACACTATTTGACAGCGTCAAGGATAGGCGGATAGAATGTTTAGATAAATGCATCCCTTGGCAATGGGAGCATTGTGTTCAAGTAGTTGGTTCATTCAACAAAGCGAAAAGCATCAGGTTACTGTACCAAACGTATGCAACTTACGGTAATTAATGGTTTTTCCTTACCTCTCGTCTTCCGAGGCTCGCCCATCTGGCACCTATACCGTCTAACATCCCCGGCCCAAGCAGGACTGCTCATTTTACCTCTCACCTCCCCAAATCTGCCCGTCTTGTCGCTCGCCTCCTCAGTCCCCAGTTCTGCCCATCTTACCTCTAATCTGGCCAGGTTCACCTCTCTCTCCAATCTCTCCAGGTCTGCCCACCTGTCCGGCGGGCTACACGGCGCTGCTGGACAGCGGCTACACGTGTCTGAGACACAGTCCAGACAACGGCACCTACTGGTCCAAGTTCAGCGAGTGCTACAACGACGGTCCCAACACCGGACTGGCAGTGGTCTCCTCCGGTCGGGTACAGGCAGCCATGATGGTGAGACACACTGACGGCCCAGCGGCCAGCGGGCCCACAGCCATTAATGGGTTCATTACCCTCTTCCTCCCGCTCACACACACACACACAATTACTTATGCGCATTGCAGCATGCGTATGTAGAAATATGACAACATCAAATGAAGGCTTTTGGATGAGTTGATCGGTAATCACTTTTCAAAGTCATTCATGAGTAATGGATAATGAAATCAATCAGAGGTAAGTTCAGTTATCATATACATATTCAGTTATCACTATTCAACATTCAACATTCCGTGTCGCTTTTCAGAGCTTTGTAGAAAAAGAAAGCAACGCTGCTTCCACGGCACCGTTCTGGATCAGCTTCCGCGGGCCTTCGGCTCTCGTGGATGAGCCCGAGCACCAGAACCGGCCAGTGGGGAACGTGGTGCAGCGCGTCCGCTGGATCGACTACAACGCCATGACGTGGACCGACGAGGTCACGGAGCTGCACAACAACGGCACCAACAGTGAGCAGACGCCGCGGTCGCCCCGCGCGCGCCGCGGGACGTGGCTCCACGGGTGTCTGTTGACTAGCTATGAGAATCGTCCCGGCCCCCGGGTGCCTCTTGATTAGCTAAAAGAATGGTACCAGGTGACCGTTGACTAGCTAAGAGTCTGCGGACCAGTTGACTTCTATTTTGACTCAACTTCTAGCAAAGACGAGTAAGATTCAATATTGCAAGCCAAATGGTGTAGTTGTCGAACCTTTTTTTCAGGCTTCCAAGTTCCACAATATTCAGGGTGTGAGAAGGTCCATGAGGTGTGCTGTGTTGATAATGACGTGTTTCTTAGTGATGTCTAGCTTCCTAACACTTACGGTATTAATCTAGCTTGAATGCCTTAATAAAGTAACTTCCTGCGCCATCTCCTCCCAGTGACGGAAATCTGGCGCGATAAGTGCGCCACTCTCGACCTCGAGAGCAACTGGCTGCGCAACGACTGTCTCGACAACTTTGCCGCCCTCTGCGAGCACACCGGTGAGTTGTGAGTTCTGACTGTGAGCTGCAGCCCTGAGTTACAGAGCTATCGGCTGCATTCGGGAGCGTTATTAGCTGCAACTGCACCAGAGGCATTTCTCCAGAGCCTTCCACAGGACTTGACCTTAGGGAAGGCTTTGATGAGACGGCATAGCAGTGGCAACCGTGACAGAACGACGTCATAATAATAGAAACATCCTTAGGTTGCTAACATCTTCAGCGTTTTTTCATCAATTTTCAAAGCAGACATCATCTGAAGTGTGACAAGACATGTGTACGTAATGCGAAGGATCTACAGTTAGTGGATGTATCATGGCATTGGTGTTCCGATTTAGCCATGCCGGTTTAGTTTGTAAACCGACTCGTTGATAGTGTCGACATTTTACCGACCTGCCCCCGTTACCGATTGGTTTCAGCGTGCTACTCGACCCGCGGCCACCAGTGTATCTTCCCGTTCCTCGGCCCGGAGGACGGCGTGGAATACCACAACTGCACGTCCCTGGACACCACAAACATCTTCCAGCCGTACTGCGCCACGGGTGAGGCCCCTTTCAGTCGTACTGGTGAGGCTACTTCCAGCCGTACTGCGCCACGGGTGAGGTCTTTTCCAGGCGTACTGGTGAGACCTCTCCTCTCCCAGCCACTGGTGACACCCCTTCCAGACACTAATGACTGTTGAGGCTCCTTACAGCCACTGGTCAGACCCCTTCCAGCGGCCCGTACTGCGCCACGGGTGAGGCCACTCACAGGCACTGATGAGGCCCATTACTGGGCCACTAGTGAGGCTCCTCTTCCAACCGCCGCCACCAGTCACTGGGCGCAATGTGCTTCACTGCACAGTTGTCGATAGTTCTGGGCGCTGGTGTTATCTTTATACACGCAACTGCAGTCTCCACGCCTCTGTAACGTCCCCTAGCTAATGTACGTACGAATGTTGGTCACGTGGCATCCTCTTGTGCAACAGCCCGGTGTCTGTACGTCTGTCCCTCACCTGGCGATCCCCTCGTGTAAAGTCTGTCTGCCACCCCACGGCCGCCTGGTGCAACTGTCCGTCTGTCCATCACGTCACGGGCCCGGTCTCACCGTCACCCGCAGAGGTGAACAGCACGGGGCACGCGGTGCGGATTGAAAAGTGCCAGCGCTACTGCTACTTCCGCCGACCCGTTGTCAAGTGCTACGACCCTCCGCTGCACCCGCTGTTGGAGAACGAGACCGACCCAACGGTCTGGAGAGCCAACTGGACATCCAGCTGGGACGGTGTCACCCACCTCAAACAGGTGGGAGCTGCGCGCACACACTGACCTCACCTCAGTGTGAACAGATCGGGACAGGGACTGGGACGGTGTCGCCCACCTCAAACAGGTGGGAGCTGCGCGCACACACTGACCTCAGTGTGGACAGATCGGGACAGGGACTGGGACGGTGTCACCCACCTCAAACAGGTGGGAGCTGCGCGCACACACTGACCTCAGTGTGGACAGATCGGGACAGGGACTGGGACGGTGTCACCCACCTCAAACAGGTGGGAGCTGCGCACACACTGACCTCAGCGTGAACAGATCGGGGCAGGGGTGACGAGGAGAGCGTCTGTACATTCGGTGTGTTCAGACGGAGACGGGAAGGATGGTAGACGGATGTCAGGCGTGGCGATGTGGTTGACGATTTGCACTGGTGGGACTGATTCGAATCAGTGGCACACAGCATCAGTTATGTTAACACTGCTGCAAAAATAAATGACTTTTCAAATCGCAGTTGACGTATTGAAACTAGTATGATATATACGCTGGAAGTTCGCAAGCAAATGGTAACAATGTTCGAAACTTTGCAGTACCAAAATATCACCTACCAGTGTCCGATCGGGTACGTCTTCGATAAGAACAATAAAAACATCATCAAACTTACCTGTGGAAACTGGACGTGGGAGCCGGAGCCTGGGCTCAGCAACGCCACCTGTCAACGTAAGAGTCATGCGGAAAAGGAGGGAACGGATAGCCTGCCGAAAGGCGCAGATTTTGGCTGCGTGGTGACGTGAAAAAAATGTGCTGTTTTCGACAATCTGTAATTTGATAGAAGAATGTAACACTTTCCGGCACATACTGAAACAAACGCCTTATGACATTATTTTACAGTGATTGTAAATATGAAAAAGACAGCAATGTTCGTTTAAATTTCAGCCAAGTATTAAATGTTATTCATATTTCATATTGGCGATCACCGCATCTATATATCTAGACCCGGCTGCTCTCTGAGCCGTTTCTGACATCTGACGCCCCCCCCCCCTCACCGCCGCCCACACAGCGGTACAGTGTTCCCGTGAGCTGCCGAACGTACCGGCCGACACCTCTCCGGGAAACGCCAGCGTGCTCGTCTGGGACGGCCTTTACGAGTATCTCACTCCCATCGAGTTCACCTGTCCCACCGGTAAGCCACGGTGTCGTCAACGAGGAGATGTTATAGAAAGGGAAGTTTGGCGTGCTCTAATAGCCAGTTTTCTCTTCATCCCAAACATAAGCGAACCCAAATAATATAGGGGGAAGTAGACGCGGATATTCATTGGAAATGTGTGTTGTATAGCCCCAGGATTAAGTATAAGCATTATGGGTTCCGACCGAAGACTCACCAAGGCCAAGCTGTCAGTCTCTCTCGCTAATCTGTGACCCGATACAAAATCACCCACCCGACCGATCACGCGCCTGGCGTCTGACCTGACCTCCCGTCAGGTCACGTGTTCGAGGGCCTGGTCCGCAAAGCCCACGAGGGGAACTGGTCCATCAACCCGTCACCGTGGAGCCAGCTTACGTCGGTCGAGTGTGACGCCACCGGCCAGTGGATGCCAGCCTTTCTGCCCAACTGCGTGCCGTTCGACTGTTTGGGGCCACCTCTCGAGCCCCCCGAGTGGGTCTCGTACGACTGGGACAACGCCACAATCAGTTATGGACACACGGTGAGTGCCAGCGAGTGAGACAGACACTCGGAGAGTTAACAGACACACGGTGAGTGAACGGGAGTGTCAGCTACGGGTACACGGTGAGTTACAGCGAGTGAGACAGACACTCCGACAGTTCACTGACTAAACGGAGTGAGTGAGTGACAGTGAGAGACTGTCTGGTATAGCCAGTGACCATGATCTCAAGTGGCCTGGCTGTGATATAACCGGCCCCTGTTTCGACCTCCAGCCACCTGACTAGTTATCAGGTACGAATGGCTCCTTACATTTAACCCCAGGAGATCTGTATGATGAACCCGACAACTATCCCTTCTCTCAGGTGCGCTACTGGTGCACTCCCGGTGTCGGCTGGGCCTTCCCCAGTGACGGGGCCATAGAGCACTTCAGCACGTGCCAAGAGAACGGCAACTGGTCCTTGACGGAACTGGAGGATTGCATCTGTGAGTAAAAACATCTCCCTCAGGCCGACTCACAGTGGTTGTCACCAAAGCTTCTACTCGGGATCTGTCGCGGAAAGAAAATGCATTCCTAAATTAATGGCAATTCATGCACGGTCACTTTTTGTTCCGTCTTGCTTAAGGATATGTCTGTACTTCCCGCGGCTCGCTATCGATAGCCCATGTGGTGCATAATGTGCGATGTGCAGACACCGTATCAACAAAATATGTAGCCAAGAACAACTCCGCTGTGAAGTCCTGCCACTCTGTTTACCGCGCCGCTGCCGTCAGTGATGCCGTGCCCGGACCCGGCGCCGGAGACGGTCACCAACCAGACGTTCAGCTACGGCCTCGTGTTCAGCAACTACACGTGTCCTCCGGCCTGGGAGTTCGCCGACGGCAGCCGCCAAAAGTCGGCAGAGTGCCTGCTCGAGACCAAAGTCTGGGAGCCGGCCGTCATGCCGCCCTGTCAGAGTGAGTCTGCCCGGCCCGTCGACCGGCGCCGCTCGCTCGCTGCTGGTTGGGATAATTTCCCAGGTGGCGCTTATCAGTGTACGCACTTTAATTGTTGTACACGATACGTGTGGGGCGTTTCAAAGCAGCTAGTTTAGCCGTTTTATATCGAAAGGTGACCACTGACCACGTTTGCAGCAGCTGAGCGATGCAAAGCAAGGTCCTCACTATCAAAGCTCCCCATCCGTTCCACCTGTGGGTCGACGCAGCGCTGACCGCCGATCAGAGCTCCTATTCGGCCCCCTATGGGTCTGCGCAGCGCTGACTGCCCATTCTCCCCTCCGCTGCTGCCCTCTAACTGAGCTCCCTGTTCGGCCACCTACTCGTATTGGTCGGCGCAGCGCTGACTGCCGATTCTGCCCTCTGTCAGAGCGCCGCTGCGCTGAGGAACCTCCGGAGGTCTTCCAGAAGGGCATGACGAGGAAGTGGCCAAAAGGCGAGGACGGCCAGCCCAACTACGAGCTGGACGTGGTCATCCAGTACCGGTGTCCTCACCGCCGACTCACCTGGGAGTTCAACGAGACCATTCAGGTGAGCTTTTCTGTAAGGCGTTTGATTACTGAGCATTGAATAGTGGCTTTAGACCACCCTGATGCGCACTTTGAGACGCCTTTGAAACGATAGTGGTGACGGCCTACTGACGTGTTGCGGTACCGGCCCACTGCACTGACATGTAATTGTGGTGATGATGGCCTCGTGTTTTGTCGCTCGCCGGCAGGAGGTGATGTGCATCCACGATCCGGAGAGCGACCTCATGGTCTGGGAGCCCTTCAACATTACCCTCTGTAACCGTAAGTACGGGGCGAGGGAGCCGGGTTGAAAGCAGCGCTCGTCCGTCATCGACGCTCTGTTAGATCTGCCTCAGTCTCTCGCTTGTGCTAATCGTTCAACCTTTGCGTGGTATATTTGCTCGCAATTAAATAAAAAAAGAATCGCAATAAATCACAGCAATTGAATTGATGATAGCACGATTCAGTACAGAAGAATACAATTAGGCATCGACTTTAAGATTAGTGCGCACTGGAACGGTATAATATTGTATCTATGCTTGTGAGTCTCTGACCACCTGATTTTTTTTCTTGTCATCACTGCGTCGAACCGAGCACAATACGGATTTGTCTGCAGCGACAAGCTGCGGAAATCGGGACAGCATTACATGAGGTGAGCAAAACTGGGATCGGCAGTACATACTGAAAATGTGAAATAAAGTAAAACCAATGAGACAAATTGAAAAGGTGTAGTGATTCACACCTTAAAAAATGAAGCTGCTTTATGCACCTTCATATATTGATTAATTGAGCTCATTGCTAGTAGGTACTTGGCATAAGTAAGACCATTCAACCGTCTCTCATTCATTGCCTTGTTTTGAATTGTGTGTGTAATATACTGAGTCGATGATGTGATCGTATTTGTGATACATGCGTCGATGATGTGATCGTATTTGTGATACATGTGTGGTGCTGTGCAGCTTGTGAATATGACATCCTTATCCTTAACCCAGCCCTGCACAGCGCAAATGAGAGAGAGAGAGTGAATGCGAGAGTGTTATATGATCGTGCCTGATTATTGGTGACTATGCAATGGATATTGTATGCGTTGTAATGTCTTCTCACTTGGTGTATAACTGTATATGACCGTTTTCTTGCAGCGATGGTAAGCATAAATCGAACATTGAAACCACAACGATCGTTTGACTGTGTATATGTTTCGATATGTGACATGACGTTTGACAGTGCGTGAGGAGACATGCTCGTATGTGCAGTGGTATGTGCCAAACTTACCAATAACAGGACAACAGCAGGAATGGCGATAGACCAGAACAGGACCAGAGGGCAAATCTAGAGGTGAGACCATACATGAGCTATACTTGGCCAGAATTCCACCGATAAGAAATATCCTCTTTGCTAACCGCAGGTAAGACAATCTTTTATTTTTCAGTCTGTATGAATACCTAATTGAATGGTGTCCAGGGGCTTACGCGCACCCACAGTGTAGTGTTAACATACAAATAAAAACGTGTCATAATTCCATAAAGTAACGACTATTCAAAAACATTCTGACACATAAGCGATCAAATACCAAAACTTAAACTATTACCGATTCATATATCTATTAATCGACGTAGGTATCCCCTTCAAGCCCAGTCTTTCCATTCGCTCATCCCCCTCCCTCTCTGCAGCTGCAGCACAGCCGCTGCTGCTGGTGCTGGTGCTGCTGCTGCTGCTGGATTCTCCACCCTATGGCCCGTCGGAGCGGCTGGAGGCTGGAGCCTCCCTCAATTCCGCCTCCAACTGGCGGAGCCCACTTGTACTCGGCGGCTGGCGGCGGCCCGGTCCGGCCCGGTGCTCCGTCCGTCTCCGCTGGTGTGACTTCACGGATCATCAGCCAATGTTGAGAGAGGATCGTCACGACTACATCAGCGCGTCCGGCGACCGGTGAAGATGTCTACGGGAGCTGACAGGTGTGTTGGCGCTGCTGAATGTTGCGCAAATGTTTTCTCTCAAAAATGCTTCTGGTAATAAAACCTAAAAGGTGAAAAATATCTTGTACTTCACCCATAAGGAACAAAATAAAAGCTGTTCAACAATACAACACATTATTCCCTATCAGTGAGCACCTATGTTCATCCCACAGGAGCCGCTGCTGGCGCCCGGCGCCGCCAGCCGACGTGGTCACACCGGCCGCAGCTCTCTCCCAGAGAGCTGCCCTCCCGCGCCGCGAGCGACATCTGAATCTCGGAACTACGCTACGTGCGACACCTAGCGTCAGAAGGCAGAAGAAAATCACAGGACCACAATCGTCCGTATCTCCTGCCGCTGCGGCCTGCGAGTGTATCACCAAAGATCAGCAGGAAGAGGCCCGAACCAAAGAAGGAGAAGAAGAAGAAGAAAAATGACTTTTGATCCAGAAGTTCCTTGGCAAATTGCTTGAAACAGTTTTACTACACCCATTTGCTGAAAATGGTTGATTGCCTGTGCCATCCGGAACCAAAGCTTTGTCTGAGATGAGCATCTTGTATCGCATCCATGGGCTCCACATCCGTATTCGACTTGGCTGTGGGGGAAAACCTCCTTATATCTAAAGTGATTTTTTACCTCATAACACCAATGGACCCAGTATAAAGGTGCAAATTATAATATGGAAATTGGACTGAATGTAAAATTATTAAATATTTACCATGCATTTTTGTTTAAAAAATAACGCAAGAGAAGCTCGCATCCCCGACGTCGGCCGGAAACGGAGCCCGTGGACAGCTGTGTTTAGTTTGCCTGCTGTTTGTGTGTGCTGAACTTACAAGCGGATGCTGGTGGTTACGTGCTTACGAGCCTCTTGCAAAGCTACTCGCTACCAAAACATGGTTAATGTGTTAAGTGTATGAATAAAAGTATGCCTATCAATTATACATTGTCACACCTACTATTTAATAAATATAGGCAGAATCGCTATGAGGCAGAACGGACCATTTTGTTGCAAATGTGAACGGACTTTGATATCAAATAACACAGCAGAGGGCTGAAGTCGCAAGCATCGTGACCACCAGCATTAGCTTACCCTATCCATCCATGTCGTTTGTAATATGTGTTGAACTACATAGGATAGGTGGCTAGATGTAAACAGATTGTGTTCGCTTATAAGAAACTGAATCCAGATATCGCTAGTGCAATTTCGATATTGTGTTCTGTTGTGCTGTACAGTGTTGCAGATCGTTGTGTTCATAACTGTCTTCGGGAAATAGCATTAATAGCAAATCATCCCGAGTTGTTAGACGTTCATTAAAATAAACCGGAAACGGGTTAGATCATCCATGCAGTTTGTCAATAAAGTTCAAATAAAATCATTCAATAATGCTTGGTGAATTACGATGAGTTCATCATTTTCAATGTACCAATGAATCAGACATTACTTAATTGTCTCGATTGGTCCGTAGTTAAATTTTGCGTAATGCATCAGCTTTCTTGTTTAATTTGTGAGCATCGATAATTACTGATAATGTACGATAATACACTACCGATAATTATCGATAATGAACTAGCACAAACTTTTAAAAGTGTGATGGTCGTGCTATGTAGTAGTTAGCGATATCGGTGTATCATCTCTGTCACCTTGGCCTCGATATCCTGGCGACGGCATTAGCTCGAGTGGCTTCGTAGCAAAGAGGGAGGCGTCGACGCAAATACAAAGCACGTGTTCTCAGTCGATATATCTTGTTTGATCAATGGTATCAATGGCAGGCAATGGAATGTTTGCGATGTTTGCAATCACTTCAACCACAGATCTTCAACACTTCGCTGCACACTAGGGCCTTGGCACACTCATGCTTGACTCATGCCATACAGCTTTGTGTGCTTTGCACACGCTATCGGTGATTGTGGACGATCCATGGATTGAAGTGTAAACATTGATAAGACATTTCCGGTATGGGTTTCTTTCGCGTGAAGGCTAGCGAGGAAAATACAATAATTGTAAACCGAGACTGTGGTGTAAGAGTGGTGCTGGATTACCTGAAGATTCGACTGGGTATCACCGATACAGAGGTTGAGCTAGACCTATGCGACGAGTGGGGAAACGTACGGTTCCTGTCCCAAGCTCCTCCGAGATGCAACACAATTCACCTTCTAGCTCCTCGGGGGCTCTACACGCCGGTTGTGATAACACAAACGCCGACGCTGAAATTTGAGGTGAAATATTTTCCATTGGCTCTATAAGAGTTCCTTGCCTAAGGCGTACCACCTTCGATGTAAGGAATTATCTCGTATTTAATTTTGTAGTCAATTCAAGTACGTCTCGTCGTTCACTGTCTAGGTAATAATACCAATAGAAAAAGTGCGGTATGCGTTTGACCTGATTGCAGCACATGGCAGCATATTATATGATTCGATGCAGTTCTATTCTCTGTAGTTCCAGCTTGAGCACGCCTCAGTTGCATCCGTAATAGCGCACAATCGCCCCCCCCCCCTTTGTTTCAGTTTCCTATGGGGAAGCCAGTCACCATCCATAGGCTCAGGGACGCTCAGCGAAAGGCCCGACGACAGTGGGGCAAGCTGCAGAAGTTGCTCGGCTCGTTCAGCGGCCAGTTCGACTCGGACGAAGAGGCAGTGGAAACCATCTACCAGGTGGTAGGGTCGCCTTCCGCCGACTACGGCAAGGGCAAGGTCAAGGGACGCGACCCAGCCCCAAAGTCTCCCCGGTCGAGGTCGATATCAGCAGGCAAAAAGAAGAAGGCGTCATGGGCCACCGATATATCTGAGTCAAAGGAAAATACATCCGAGAATGGTCAAACTCAGCCAGAGAGACCTGCGGTCTCTGCAGGTAGAGAGACAACAAGGGCAAGAAGGGTGTCCATTTCAGACGAGCGAAATGAAATCGAGGCTACTGAAGCCGAAAACAAGAGCAGTATGCAAAGAAGGCCACTCAATAACGTGGAAAGTAAAGGAACACATGGGCTTAGCCAAGATTACGGAGTAGATCACGACAAGACGGCAGGCCTTGCTGGCCGAAGAGGATCAACGAAATACGAGAATAATGTGCCTGAAATACCGGCAAACAAGTCCAAGGATGTTGTGACTGGAGAGGAGCATGATGATACCAGCAAGACGACACCGGCGAGCACCAAACCAGCAGAGGCCGGAGAGAGTGGCAAGGCTGCAGAAGAGGCACCAGAGATTCCGAAACCGAGCACCTCAACCACTGACAGAGACAAAACAGATCTTCCCGCTGAGCGTCCAGCACATGAATCGACAGACAGTGGTATCGAGTCAGCGGCCAGCAGGTCGGGCGGGAGGGCGAAGGAGTCGGGGATGCGGGAGACCTCCAGTGACGCGCAGTCAGCCAGCGGAGAGGCAGGAAGCAACGAGGACTCCCCCAGTGCGCCGACTTTGCCGCTGTCTAAGACGAAACTCAAACATCGCAGGAGCTCCAGAATGCCGGCCATTCCGGAGCAAGTCGCCCCGGCAAACAGTGGAGTCAGCAAGGATGGGGCACCCGCAAAGTCGGAGGCATATGACGAAAACCAACAGTCTCAGGATGGAAAGACAACCAGCTCCGGCCCGTCAGATGCAACGAACATCACAAACGAGAAGGACGTAACAAGAGACTCATCAAACGCCGCTTCAACCGATGCATCACAGCCGACAGCTAACGCAGTCACTGTCGAGCACAGTGTCGGCGAATCCTCCTCTCCCGGTGCACCCCGTCCGCCTCAGGATCCCTCATCTCCTGCCGCGAGCGGCGCTGCCCTGGCGCCGGAGGACATCGCCGGAGTGGCGGTGTCGATCGTCCCACCGAGTGCGGCGGCACCTCACCGGCGCAGCGTGGACGTCACGGCGCTGCTCGGCATCCCCGTGACGGACGGGACGCCCGGAGCCGAGGCCGACCCGTCCACCGGCCACGGCGTGCCCTCGATGATCGACGAGGAGTGGCGCAGAGCGGCGGCCACCGAACAGCTGGTGGGGGTGCTCAGCGCCACCTCGCGGCTCGTCTACCTCGGCTCGGCCAGGAGCCAGCCGGTGGACGTGCCGCAGATCAACGTGGTCAGCACGACGGAGGAGCAGGCGCAGCGGCTGAGCTCCGGGTCCGCGCTGCTGGCCGCGGCTGGACCGGGGGAGGAGAGGACCCGCACTGATGACGTGGGCGGCGAGCGGGGTGACGTGACGTCGCAGCCAGACACATGGAGGTCGCCCTCAGGCGGCGCCGTCGAGACCTGAACACAGCCTGGCATGCGAGATGTCCATTGTCCGATGCACATGTGTCAAGGCAATTCCGAATGTTCGTGGAAAATGCAGGCAGTGTGCAGGCGAATCGGATAGGAGCACGAAAATAGCTGTGCGACTAGGATGCAATGCAGCGATGATGAATTCGTTACTGTGCAGTGTGATTCAGCTACGCGTTTCTCGTACAAACATCGTGGATTTCAGTGTGCTAGCGTTAAAATGTTACGTTGATACTTGATTGTTGTCATGTATGTACGATGGAGTGCGTTTTATGCGACCAAAAGAGTTCACAAAACAAATATATTTCGTCAGTTCGATGACAATCATCTGTCAATGGGTTGATTTAAGCCAAACAATTTTTGGGCCAATATCCGGCGGCGGTATTAATAAGTGCCGGCCGCGAGTTCGTGCCGAGAATGGCGTGTCTGATTACCGCCGTCGCCGGCCAATCTCGGCGCGGTCACGCCGGCCAGAGTCGAATTCGATGATGGCCCGAGGCGGTATTGGATTTCCGACGGCTGACGGGGTGTCGGCGGCGCCCCCCGACATCATCCGTCGGCCGGTCAGCGGGCCGGTGCACACAGACGTTCGCGCGGCACGTCCGCACGGCCCCGAGGAAGTGTACCTATACGGACGGGACTGTTGACGGCGATTCCCAACACGTCTGTGCATACGGCCGCCGAGGAAGTGTACTGTCGCGGCTTCCCTAAAGCTACCATGAATAATCTCATTATATGTACAAAGACGGTAACTTATGATGCACGGGCGCTTTCAAAATGTCTGACAGGCTCTGTTTCTTTACATCATGTGGTTAAAGTCGAGAACTGAGAAGGGAACGTACCTATAATCTCGTAGAAAGGTACGTTGTTTAAATCTCCAACATTTTTATATGTCCGAGTACCTATATAGTCAGTACCTACCTGCTAATGCCTAATACATACGGTACGTACCTTCAGATATATCTATCATCAAAGTTTAAAATACTTCAAAAAATTGTACCTTTTGTCATCGGTAAGCTCTAGCTATGCCTACCTTTTATAAATTTATGAACCCATTAGGACAAATAATATCAAATGGGATACAAGCTGATCAATGTCGACCCACTGCGGATGATGGAGCGAAAATGTTTGGCTGTCGCGGATGGTTCTCCTATAGAATCGGGCGCTCTGAAAGGGCTGAAAGGAGCGGATAGACTCTGTCCCAGAGCACTGAAAGGCGTCGCAGCAGGCCTCCATTAGGGCCAGTTACTCTACAGATACCGTCCAATCACCGCTCAAAACCAGTTACTCGGCACAAATCAGAGCCAATCAGAACATAATACCAGATGTCCCATTCGTTCAATCTTTCATTTAAAAAGGACACTGGATGCGCAGCGGTTGAAGCAGTTCGAATTCGCCAGGCACAATGAACCATATTAATCTGAGACCGAAGAAGGAACCGGTTGAATGACAACCATTGTGATTGTTCCAAGCAGGCGAGAGCGACCAGGAAAATGCTTCGATGTTTAACGGACGGCGGAAGGGCAGATGAGTTAAAAGACCGGGTGGGATACCTACACACAGCGACATTATTGATGAATGCACATTTTACGCTACTGGAAGGTACGCACATTGGCGAATGCAGAAAGACAGCATTGGATGCAGCGGAGGGAATGAGACGCTGCCCCCCCCCCTTAGCTGAAAAAAATATACTTTGAAGCTTATCTATGGCCAGGTACGACAGGCTATTGGAAACCCATCCCAATAAATGAAATATGAATAAAGGTAACGTAGCGTAGGCCTAATCTAGGTAGGTTTTATGCCAGGAACCGATAAATTCTCCTAAATTTGGAACGTTGCAGTCGCCGGTAGCGGGGCATTTGACCCTGATGCATATCTTACCCAAGGCCCTTAAAACAACCTCACCACCATGGATCCACCAGTGAACGTTACAATGGCCCCTGCACTGCCATGGAGCTTGCCTATCGTTGCACTGACGGACCGATTGCTAAACGCAGTCGACATCTGGAGAGTGCTGACACCTAGCGAGCATTTCCTGAACTACCGGCCTCTCCATCACCGCCTCTCTTCTAACCTTCGGCCGACCCCGCGGCCGTTTACGGTGAAATCACGTGACCGCCCCGGGGCGGTGGGTCTCAAATCAGTGCCGGTATCCTCCCCTGTCGTTTGTTTATGTCTGTCGTCAAACTCTCTCTCTGCGGCCCCACTGATATCTGGCTGGGAATAAACAGGCTGACCGGCGGGGACCCGGCGGAGATTCGCAGAGACGGCCGGCCGACGACGGAGACGTGCCAAACACCGGCGCCTCGGCGGACACGTGCGGTCCACGGGGACACCACAGAGGTGGCCGACACGTGCGGCCCCGCGGGTCTGAGCCGCGGATATCGGACAGCCGGGGATATCTGACAGCCGGGGATATCTGACAGCGGCTCCACAGTTCGCCGAGGTGGGCCGGCGGGTCCTGACTAGCCAGAATTCAGATGTCTCTGTTTGATCTGACGTGTTTCTGTTGAACAGATTGCAGCGACGAGTACCTTTGGTTTGCTCACCAGTCAGATAGCATTAAAAACCCATAATCCACCTCCAGCCTCATAAAAGTGATGACTAATTCGTGAGCACCCAAAAAGATAATTACCTACCCAACAATTATAGAAGCGAGACACAATAGAATAATACCAATCAAATCGTAACGTTCAATTACCTCTCCTCATCCCAACCGTAAAACAGTATAGTGTTGCAACGAAGCTGGGGCAACAAAGCAAATATGCACCACTAATCCGGCCGCGTGACTTTGCCGACAGCGCCCTCCCGGGACCTCATCCAGCGCTATCACGGGCGACCTTCGCGCCGGCGCGGACGAAGGGAGCCTTTGTTGTAACGCGTTTGGCCCGAGTGGACTCGTCAGTCGTCATCACCCATTCCTGGCTACCGGTTGATTTCGTTGCTTCACTGTCCTTTATATGCATATGCAAGTCAACATGACCTATTCTTCTGGTATATATCAGTAGTATGAACATATTTTGTCGTTAGTATAGTTAACCTGTTTATGTTGTTCCCGTTTACCATACGACATATTCCCGGAGGTTAAATAAACACGATTATCGCCCATTTCGGCTCGGCTGCCAGCTGCCAGCGCCCAGTAGTCTCTCAGTCTGGAACCTAGACCTGCTCAGGGGGCTCAGCGAGCGGGCAGTAATCAGCGACAAGTGGGTTTTGTCGGCTACAGCAGACAACCGGCAGAAATGGCCGCAGACAGTGGAAGAACGGGACCATTCGCAGCCCTAATTGGATCTCGAATATCCGCCCTTATGTCTGCAACGCCCCGTCGTTTAGCCTAGATTCACAGCAGTGGCTCTTTTGCCGGAACATTTGGGCATATGTGCTCATCTGAATGGGCCTCTAAGTGAGGTCATAAGAAGATTGTCTGCATCAACTATGCAGAATGAGACGACGAGCAGCATTTCTCCAAGAATAAGAAAGCGGTTTAATAAAGGCAACACTCTAGAAAGACTAAGCGTGTTCTAGCTGTTACATTTTATAGGCTGATGTTTTAACTAGGTATATAGTAAGCTTTGGCTCTCTGGCCCTCAACCCTTCCATCTATTGTTCATCTGTTGCTAACTACAAATGCTTTTGCAAAACGCTTCATAAATTTATATCTTAACACCAGTATAGCGCCTTTTGGGGCGACTAACGGAGCGAGCGAGGGGGTGAGTCTTGCACGTGCGAAATTTCGAGGGGGTACCTCCAACTGACTTGTGCACGGCACCCTACTGACCGGTTTCTAGCGATGTGCCAAATTTGAGCACAATCGGCCCAGCCGTTCTCGAGATCTGGGAGCGGCACCCTGCACGTGCGCACGTGCAAAATGGGTCCCAAATGACTTGTGCACGGCACCCTACTAACTGGTCCCTAACCGTGTACCAAATTTGAGCGCCATCGGTCCAGCCGTTCTCGAGATCTGGAAACGACCCCTGCACGTGCGCACGTGCAGCAGCACCCCAACTCTGGCACATGGATATGCAGTGCCTAGTGGGTGCCTACCTACATGCCAACTTTCAGCACAATCGGCCAAGTAGTTACCGAGATATTGCAACAATTACAAAAGTGACACCTCTCCGTTTTGCACGTGGCACGTGCATAAGGGGTCACCCACATGCATCGGGAACAGTCCAATACTTGGTAGAAGGAATGAAGCTACCCTACAAAAATTACCGCGTGTAAATCGGTCAAGTGGTTGCTGAGATATAAGCGTCGCAAAAGCGTGACCACGGCCGGCCGGCCGGCCGGCCGGCCGCTCATACTCAGAAATTTCCGTTAATCTAAGGAAAGACTACGCTCGCTTCGCTCGCTCCGTAAACAGACAAAGTTTAACCAACTAAAATATGTAAAGAATATGGTATGGGTTGCCGAGCATTTCCATAAAACCAGTATAACGCCTTATGGGCGACTAACGGAGCGAGCGAGAGGGTGAGCCTTGCACGTGCGAAATTTCGAGGGGGTACCTCCAGCTGACTTGTGCACGGCACCCTACTAACCGGTCTCTAGCGATGTGCCAAATTTGAGCACAATCGGCCCAGCCGTTCTCGAGATCTGGAATCGGCACCCTGCACGTGCGCACGTGCAAAATGGGTCCCAACTGACTTTTGCACGGCACCCTACTAACCGGTCCCTAACCATGTGCCAAATTTGAGCGCCATCGGTCCAGCCGTTCTCGAGATTTGGAATCGACCCCTGCACGTGCGCACGTGCAGCAGCACCCCAATTCTGGCACATGGATATGCATTGCCTAGTGGGTGCCTACCTACATGTCAACTTTCAGCGCAATCGGCCAAGTAGTTACCGAGATATTGCAACAATTACAAAAGTGACACCTCTTCGTTTTGCACGTGGCACGTGCATAAGGGGTCACCCACATGCATCGGCAATAGTCCAATACTTGGTAGAAGGAATGGAGCTACCCTACAAAAATTACCGCGTGTAAATCGGTCAAGTGGTTGCTGAGATATAAGCCTCGCAAAAGCGTGACCACGGCCGGCCGGCCGGCCGGCCGGCCGGCCGCTCATACTCAGAAATTTCCGTTAATCTAAGGAAAGACTACGCTCGCTTCGCTCGCTCCGTAACAATGGTTTTCTTACAGCCTTAAGACGAATGGGTATATCACGGCCCACCTTTCTACTGAAAGGGATTAGCACATCCCTGAAATACCAATTAGTCTCCACCAGCTATCTCGGAATTCGGATGCCGGTTGCCTCGCATTCCTGCATACCCGAGTACAATTCCTCCAATCTTGCATTGAATTCCTATCCTGGCTCCCGCTTAAC